ACTAACTACGTTTATATTTTTAATTTTTCGAAAAATTTTGTATATTTTTAAATTTTACATTTTTTTTAATTTCAACAAATTTTTTAATTTCCTTTTTCAATTTTAAGTCATACCTTTAAATTTAATATTTTTATTTATTGACTCTTATTGTTAGTAATTTTGAAAGTTTATTTATACACAGAAAAAAAGATTTATTTGATTCAAACAACGGATTACTCGTCTACACGGAGAGACCGAGATTACTAATTTTTGTATAAAATCACACTAGAATTTACTATATTCACATTGCAACCACCGGAAATAAGGGGACTTTTTGTATTTTTTACTATTTTCTACACTAAGTCACTAATCCCGACAAATGTTCACCAAATTAGCAAAGTTTCTTACTATTTCGTCCAATAGTTCCAAACAACTGTAGTAAAACTCAGAAACATTGTGTACGTAAAATTACTATAGTCGTTGTAAATGCAGAAAGAAAGAGTGAAAAGAAAAAATACGGATTTTTGTCGCCGGTTTCCCGTCAATTCTTGACTAGTGGAGGTAAACTGGAAGGATTTTTACATACACAGACACACACACTCACACACTTATATATTTGTTGTTGGATAAATATTTGAAGACACACACATGTTTATTTCACTTATATGTATAGACGCGGTTAATTAATACACTAATACACAACTGCACGCACGACAACGAATTTCACTGAAAGTATACATCTTTGTTTCCTTATATATTGAATGATGAAAATTTACAGCACTTACGAGAAAGCAGTTTACTTTTAACAACTTATTATAAGACATACTTCTTGGGACAGGAATAAATGCAAAATTTATTAATTTATAATGGTCAATTTCTGAGATACCGAACGACCTACGTTTCACTTTATATTTAATTATTGTAGATAATATCCAAATTTATTTTACATACGCGAAACATAGTCACTGTCAATGATCGGAAGGCATCGGCTCATTTACGGAGATTGACGAGGTTAGCAACCAATAGAAATACAGGCGCCATATGACTGCACTCGCTAGCCACACTTGCTCACCAAAAATTACTACAGTGGATAGAAGATTTTAGTGGAAAATGTTTTCATTTGTCAGATTTTGTCTAATTAAATTAGAGAAAACTATAATCAATTTTCGCTACATTTACAACTCTTACACAAAATATTAAAACTTGCTATTTCAATGTAGCAAATTTATCTATTTCTTTTGTAAATTTATCTAATTCTGTAGTACATTATGCTAAAAGTCCCCTTATTTCCGGTCATTGCAACCGTTTTTAGTAATTTTTACGAATGTGGGTCTCTCCGTGTATTATTAAATAAATATTTACTTGAATCAAATAATTTTTATTCGAATCAATTAATAAATAGTATTTGCTTCAAGTTCTATATTTAAATTTAATTATTTTTAAATTATTAGCTCAAATAATTATTGATTATTTAATTAATTAATTATTATTAGTGTTATTATAAATTATTAATTAAATTATTGAAAAAAATTATCTGACTAAATGAATTAAATAGTATTCTTTTCAAGTACTATATTTAAATTTACTTATTTTAAAATTATAGGCTCAAATAATTATTGATTATTAATTAATTATTAGTATTAATTAAATTATTATTGAAATAAAAATTATTTGATTTAAAAAAGTATTTATTTTATAATAGACAAGTAATCGGGCTTTTGAATCAAATAAATTTATGCTTTAGTGTATAATAAATTATAATTATTACTAAAAAAAACAAAATTAAGATAATTTTTTTTACTAAAACATGTTCTTTTAGTAACAAATATTTTCATTTTGAATATTTCATTTAAATTAAATATTTTTCAAGTAAAAAATTAAGATAGAATTTTTTTTTAATAAAACTTTTCTCTGGATGTAGGATGTAATAAGGAAAAGAAAAGTAATGTTATTTCTTTGACTTACCCCATAATGTTATGAGTTGATGCTAGATGTTGAAGTCTCTTGCGTTAAAATTATTTTAAAATACTTAAAACTACTTACATTGCTCATTACCTAGCTAAAGCAATAATTTTTTCGGTTTGAAAATCTCTAACTAAATAACAAATATTTTTAGCACTCGGAGAAAGATTACCTATTATAATAAAAGCTAAATATTACATTTTTCGTAGATCTTCCACTAATTTTGATTCACTCTTCGCTGTTTTCTTGTATCCTCTTCTTACGTTGGCTCGCTATTGATTGTTGAAAAAGAAATAAAATATATCTCTGCAAAAAAATGTTAGTTAATTAGACAAGAAAAAATTTAGAAATTGTTAAAATAAATTCCTACTTTCATATTTTTTCCAAGAAAGATAATTTCTTTACATAAAATTTTTTTTAAATATTTGTTACAAAAAAATGATTTATTAGAAATAATTGAAAAGAATTTAATTAGAACTTTAAATAAAATAAAATGTTGAAAGATATAATTTAAAAGAATTTAATTGAAAATTTAAATAAAATACAATTTTGAAAAATTTAATTTAAAAGAAATAATTATTTGAGATTAATATTTTTATTTGTTATAAATAAATTTTTTATTTCACTAATGTTAATAGATGATTAATAATTGATATAAAATTAAAAAAATTATTGTTGCCAATACATTTTTTAAATAATTTATTATAAAAATAATTCAAATAACAAAGATAATTAAAAAAAATTATAATATAAAAATAATTTACTATTAAAAAAACGATTAAATAAAAAGTTTGTTCTACTTTATGGTACTTACTCATTCTTTATGAAGTTCTACCAGAAAATTGATGAAAACACCCAGTTTCTTCGAAAATTGTCCGTCCTTTGGAAAACTCTTCGGAATCTATACAATTGACAATAAAATTTAATTAATCGAGGCACTTTTAATTTGCTTCAATTATTAAAAATATTAAACAAAATTCAATTATTTAGTTAAATTATCAATAAAAGCTGCCTCACCGAAGGAAGTCAATGAACTGTGGCACAAGGAAAAATTCACTCAGGTAGAAGGAGAAAATTTTCGACGAAGGAAGGAGGAGAGGGGGAAAGGGTACAATTTTCTTTTCATACTTTTATTGTCGGTGAAGGAAAGTTAGACAAGGACAGAAGGTAAACAAATTTTTCTTTCTTGTTTACCAAAGGGATTAACTTCTCTTTCTAATCGTCAATTATTGAAAGGTTGTGAACAATATATTTGAAATTAATAATTATCAAAATTTTCCAGTAATTTTTCAATAGAATTTTATAAAAGACAATTCATTTAGTTATTAAAAAAAAGAAAAGAAAATGTAACAAAATAAAAATTACTTTTTTGAAATATCTCCGTTTTTTGTTAAATAAATTCTTGATTAAATTTTCGAAAAATTGTATTTTGTGACAAGGAATTAGAATTACGAGACTAAACTAAACTACATTAATCTAGACCAGACTAACTAGACTAAATTAATCTAGAAAAGACTAAACTAAACTAGACTTAACTAACCTGGACAATGCTAAAATAATCTAGACAATACTAACTAAATTAAAAATCCTGAGTTAGAAAAAAATTATAAAGAAAAGCTTTTGTTTATAAAAATGTACAGGATTTAACATTAATGTTTTAAATATGGGAATTTAAATAAAAAGGCTAATTTAAAAAGAATCTAAGCTGTTAAAAAATGTTCTTTATCTTTTCCCAAACTCAGAACTTGATGCTGAGTTAGAAAAAAATTATAAACAATAGCTTTTGTTCATAAAAATGTACAGCAGTTGACATTAATATTAAAAAATGGAAATTTAATTAAAAAGGCTAATTTAAAAAAAAATCTGAGCTAGTAAACAATGTCATGAATTTTTTCACATACTCAGAACTTAATCCTGAGTTAGAAAAAAATTATAAACAATAACTTTTGTTTTTAAAAATATACAGCAGTTAACATTAATGTTTTAAAAATGGAAATTTAATTAAAAAGGTTAATTTAAAAAAAAAAATCTAAGCTAGTAAAAAATGTCATGAATTTTTTCACATACTCAGAACTTAATCCTGAGTTAGAAAAAAATTAAAAAGAAAAGCTTTTGTTTATAAAAATGTACAGCAGTTGACATTAGTGTTTCAAAAATTAGAATTTAATTAAAAAGGCTAATTTAAAAAGAATCTAGTCTGTTAAAAAATGTTCTTTATCTTTTCATAAGCTCAGAACTTGATCCTGAGTTAGAAAAAAATTGTAAAGAACAGCTTTTGTTTAAAAAAAAGTACAGCAGTTGACATTAATGTTTTTTAAAATGTGAATTTAATTAAATAGGCTAATTTAAAAAGAATCTAAGCTTGTATAAAATGTCATCAATCTTTTTCCAAACTCAAAATATGATTCTGAATTAGCAAATAATTATAAACAATAACTTTTATTTATAAAAATGTAATGCAGTTGATATTAATGTCGGAAAAATAAGAATTTAAAAAAAAAGCTAATTTCAAAAAAAAATCTAAACTGCTATAAAATGTCATCTATTTTTTTGAAAACTCAGAATATGATCCCGAGTTAGCAAAAAATTGTAAACAATAGTTATAGTCCAAATAAAGTACAGCAGTTGACATTACTGTTTGAAAAAGGGAATTTAATGAAATAGGCTAATTTAAAAAAAATCTAAGCTGGTAAAAAATGTCCCCTATTTTTTCTCAAACTCAGAACTTGATCCTCAGTTAGAAAAAAATTATAAACAATAGCTTTGTTCATAAAAATGTACAGTAGTTGACATTAATGTTTTAAAAATAAGAATTTAATTTTTAACAATTATTGGAATTTAGTTTAATAAGAAAATTCCTATAATTTAAGTCACCATGGTTATATTTCTCTATAGATTAATTTAAAAAAATGTATTTATATTTGTCATATCGATAAAGAAATATTTTTAAAGTAGCGGAAACAAAATCGTGCGCTACGTAGAATCACGAAAACATGCAAAAATTATAAAAAAGCGATAAATATTTTTTGCGCTTTACTATTTCTTTGCTTTAAATATTTTTCTGCTTTCGCGGCATTTTAATTCTAAAACGCCGTGTACATAATTGTCTTATTGGCTAACTTAACATAAAATTAGAAAAATGATATAAAACATGTGTAAAAAATCGAAAGAGACTACAGTCTTATGCCACGTAGCATTAAAGAATAACAATGCAAAGCAGCGAATAAAGATTATTTTTCAGTTCTGTTCTTTCTAAAAAAAAGCCAAAAATTTGACGTCAACAAATGTAAGTATTTACTATTATTCTGCAATTAAGTTTTAGAACGTTAAGAATTTTTAATTAATATTACAATATTTATAACTCTTCTTTAAAATTTTTGTGTTTGAAATTTTTAATATTATTAACTTTTAAATCAAAAAAGCCATTTTTACATTATTATGACAAAATTAAAATTGTCTCATATTAGCTTAAAACTTCTTACTCATGCAGGGGTTTTCGAGGTCGATGATTACTAATCTAAATTCAGATTATCAAAATTCAAAATAGTGGGCATTTTATTCAAATCTGCTCGAATTCGCTTGAAACTTATTGTTATTCGGGGTTTTTCGGGGTCACCATTTTCAATTTTTCAAATCTAACTTTAGATTCATAATCAGCGACAACGAAAACCCCCGAATTAAAAGTTTTATGCAAATTCGAACAATTTTGAAAAAAATGGCCGCCATATTGAATCCACCATTTTCAATTTTCAAAATTTTAAAAATTTGATTTCATATTCCTAATCAGCGACCCCAAAATCCAATTCCTGGGTTTCCGGGGATACGAAAGGGTTAAGTAATGTCTAGAATGAAAGAATAAATATATTATATCGTTTCCAGTTTAGTAAGCTACAGTTTTTGATAAGCACAAAGCAATAAAACATGAAATTCAATAACGAGATACTGTACTTTCTTCTACTTTTCATACAATCGAATCATTTTTGTTTATCAGAAAAACAAAATGATCACGATATTAAACGAACGGGGGTAATTGGAAAAAAATATAAAAAATTTTTAATTTGTTAAATGGCAAAAATAGTAATTAAACACCAAAATTTTTTTTTAGAACGAACTTCATAATACGAAAGAGATGAACGTCTCTGATTGCGAATTAATAAATTTTTACAAGAAATCGAGTATTTTAGGCAATATTTTGGAAACTGTAAACGTTAACGAACTGCTTATCATAATAGCAGATGATATGAACGACGGGATAATATTAGCCGATTTTTTGAGTAACGGAACTAGAATAAAACTTGCTACAGAAGAACTTTCTGATAATGAAGTAATTCTAAACAATGAAATATTGCAAAATATTTACTTCTACCATACTAGTTCACAAATGAAACACATATTTGTCTATCCTAGAAACACTTCAAATCCTTTATTAACAACATTAATTACAAGCCAGATCATAAATTCGGCCAATCTCTTAAAAGTTGCACTTACATGTAACAATACTAATAGCAAAGAAACCTTGAATTCTATGTTTTTGATTGCAACAAATGTTTTAGACATTGACATTCAACGTCGTCGTTGCGAAATGGAATACAACATTATATTTCTCCTATTAAATATAAATTCTAGAGAATGTACACTTGGAGTTGTTATAGTTGGTTACTTTTCAAGTTTTAATATTTGAGACAATTTTGCAATTCATTGCAAAATTAATCAAATATTAATAAAACTTTGAAAATTCCTTTAAAGTGTTATTTTTACACTCACTTCTCGTGCGTGAGGAAATAATAAATTTTGCTTCTTTATCTCACATAATATTATTTAATGTATATTATAATTCCGTCTAATATATTTTTACAATATATTAGATAGAATACTGAATATGACATTAAAGAATATTATAAAAGTAAATTCATTTATTTTTATTTAGCCTTAATTTAGATTTTTTGTACCGGAGGTACGGTACAAAGTTGACGGTAAAGGCAAACTGGCATGGTGCGTCGCCTTTACGGGAGAATCTGGAGACACGTCTGACTCGCCCTGTGTCTCCCGCTCGACTAACTCTCGCTCTTGAAACCTCAACCGTACCGCGCTTGCGCGGAACGGGTGGGGGCAACTCACGCGCTGATTGGCTCTTGCCAAGGTGGAAGGGATTTCGCGGATGCGACTCAGCAGAGGAGCATAAATACCGCGCATTTTCCCTGACTCACGCTCTTACCTCGCCAGACTTCGACGGAACAACACGTCTCTCAAGCCGAGAGACACCGACGCCTGCGCGGCGTCGCTGACGCCTGCCAACTGTCACTCTGCCGAGTGACGCTCTCAGCCGCTGCCACGCCGCCACTTCAACAACGACGCCTCGCCTGCCACCTCGTCGCCTACATACCGTCAACTGCCTGCCGTCCTCTTCAGGGAAAAATATTTGAATAAATATTTTATTTTGGAATTTGGAAACGCCGTCTCTTCTCTATTCCGCTGGCTGCGGAACCTCACCATATTTACCAACCTGTCCTTTTCAGGACAAATAACGCAAACAAATTTCACATTGACAATTAGTCCTTTTAAGGATAAATTGTCAATTATTTTACGAAAGAATATTTTGGGTTCGAAAACATTCCACACAAGGCAGAGGAGTAACTCTGGTGTCTTAAGGCCTCGTGACCTTCTGCACCACCCTGAGGGTTAACGTTTTTTCCGTGACAACTTAAGGCCCACACTCGGGACCTTCTGGGTCCGGGGGAACGTAGCCCTTGAGGTAACGGAGCTTCTTCTCTCGCACTATCAAGCAGTGACAACCGGCTCCAGGGGACAGTACTTCGAACCTTGCTTAGGTTCAAGTACCCGACACCTGGAGTAGAACGGGTCCTCGTCTCTCAGAACCCTGCTTGGGTTCGAGGTCGACGTCACCGATCGGCTCTGTCAACTACTGCCGCTAAGGTCATTAATATTATTTTTTGTGCTTTTCTCGCACCTTTGAGCCAGTCACTACTCCTCTACACAGTGACCGGTATCAGAGTGAAAAAATTAAAAGATTACTTTCTTACGAATTTTGAAAGATTTGGGATTACAGATTCTCTTGATTTTGATGTGTTTGAAGAAAAAAGCATTTTTAGAAGTTTAACTATACAGGAGCAATTAGAATTTCTTGTCATAAAACCTCTTATTGATGATGAAGATCATGTTAATAATACGTGTTCAAAATCTCTAAGTATTTTAGAAAATGATTATGTATCAATAAACCAGAAGTTAATTAAATTTGTTAACTTCTTAAAACCTGAGATTACCATTAGAAATGAAGAATGTCTTAAAAATATACAAACAAATGAAATATCTTTCATATCAGATTTGTACTTCTTGCCGGATTGGTTCATTTTATCAAGTAAAAATATTTCAGTAAATGAATTTACAAACGAAGAATTGAACAGTGAATTAATCGAAAGTATTTGTTACAATAATGAAGAGAATATTAAAATTTTTGAATTCATTTGTTTCATTAAAGATATTTTTGTCAATAAATCAACATTGCTGTATTTACAACAAATTGTACGTTACTATTTAGAACAGCAAGAAAGTTGGTTTTCCAATTCAAATGTATGCTTTGAAAATGATATGAATACTAACGAAACTCAAGTATCAAATGAATACAATATTTCTAAGAATAATTACAATGTTGAATCCAAATTGAAGACATTTTTTACTGCAAAAAAAGAAGTCATTGATGGAAAAAAGGTAATTAGTTAAAATTTTAACTGCAGATAAAATACAGATCCAAAGTAAATTCAAAAATTATAAATAAAACTTTTACGTTAACGATCACTCCTAATATTTTGAATCGTAGTGCACGCTAACCTCAAACTTTTATTTATAATTAAGACTACCGAGTAACAATCGATATACAAGAGTTGTATTTCAAAATTTTTTAATTTACAAATACAATACACGTATATAATTTTTTTTTACAGATAATGCACTTCCCGACTTCAACTGAAAAAACAGTGTCTTTTTGCACTCTTATGAAATTACTTGCAATAACAAGGATTTTATTTCAATCATCAACAAATCTAAAAATTGAGAAACTATTTCTTATAATAGCAGATGATACAAATGACGGCAGAGAATTAGCTCAGTTATTAAGCTATGGAGAAAGAGTTAATTTAGCAGAACCATTTCTGTATGCTAAAACATTTGAATTATACGAATTGTTTATGAAAAACCATTACTTGTATTACAATCAGCTAATCAAAACACACATTTTAGTCTATCCTAGAAATGCACCAAATCCATTGTTAGCAACATATTTGACAAAAGCGATTATAAGATCATCAGAAAAAATAAAAATTGCACTGACATGTAAAAAAGAAATTAACAAAGTCGTTTTGAATTCTTTGTTTCTGACTGCATCAGAAATATTAGAATTTGACTTAGACAGGAACTATCTTCAAATTCAAAAATCAATTATCATTATGCCATCAAACACTGAAGACGGTTTTACTTCATTTGGAAAAATAAAAGAGGAAATCAATAAATACATTTTTGAAAAATTTGTAAGATATAAAAGTATAAATTTATTTTCATGGTTCAATAATGCTAGTAACTTGAAGAATTTGCATTTTAAAGAGCAGTTGGAGTATCTTGTATTAGGTTTTGTTAATACAAATTTCTTCTCTAAATTGCCAAATATATATTCTGAAGAAAATGTACTCAATGATGATTTTGTTCCAACAAAATGGAACATAATTAAAATTAGAGAATTATTATTCATAAATATGTCAATCGTAAAATGTATAATTTATTCAAACAGTCAACAACGTAAATTGAAGCGAAATATTTTAGCAACAGATATAAAATCTTTAAAGGGTCTATTATCTTTTCCAAATTGGATAAACAATTTAGAGCAAGAATCGCAAGAGACGTAGGGGAATGTAGTCAAGGTTGGTCTACTGTCTAGGTAGGCCATCGCGATTTTTTGGACAAGTTCACTAGCGCCACCTACGCGCATGCTTGTCGAAGCTTGTCTTAGTGTAACCTAACTTTTTGTTCAATTACATTTTCGGAAAATCGAAAATTGTGTTTTCTGTGACGTCGGTACAAAAAAAGCTCAAAAAAAGTTTTGTGCATAATGTGAAAAACCATTAATAAAAGATAAAAAACAAATTGAATCGTCAAGGCAAGTATGCAGAAAATTTGTGGGACTCATGGTTGAAAGGAAAACAAAGTAAAAAATCGAATCCCGAAACGTATTTCTTTATGGTTACAACAATTTGGTAATGTTACTTACTGTCAAGGTCGGCCACTATGTGTTTAAAATGCGCAAAGATGAGGACGAGCTACTTCATTTGCAAAAACTGCAATTCTGTATAACTCATAATATAATTCATCATCTTATTAATATTTTTATTTAATTTTATTAATATTTTAGTGCAAAATTTTTTTTTATTTATATTTATTTTTTATATTGTTTATTTTTATTATTTTATTATTTCATTAAGTTACAAGCTGTAAACAATAAAGAATCAATTTTCCGTAACTCCAAACATGTTATTTTATTTTTTAACGATTAATGCCCTTTGAATTTTAAACATGGCCGACCTTGACTGTAATGGCCAACCTGGACTACAAATTTTTTTTTTTTTAAATCTTTATAACTTTTTCATTTTTAAACCTGTCAATTTACTTTGTACAGAAAAAATGTTCCTATTAAACAGGACTTTCCAACCATATACTTCAATTGTCCAAATTCATTTTTAAAAAAAAGTTATAAACAAAAGTCAAAAAGGTGGCCGACCTAGACTATGTTCCCCTATATAAACAAATTTGAAAATGATGAAAAAGTTAAAAACTTTATAACCTATATTTGTAGCAGCTCGAATCAAGAAAAAATTGTATACATAATTTGTCTTCTAACGTATAACGACAATAACAAACATAACCAAGAATTTAAAATTTTAAGACTATTACAAAACGTTATCTTGCATTATTATTATGATTATGAAAAGTTGTGGTTTTCAATATTAGAATCAATTTATAAAAGCAGATTTACTGAGAGTAAGAAACTACTGTTGATGAAAGCACAAAAACATTATGAGGCAATATTGAGAATCGATGAAAAAAAACAAGATCTTATGAGGGAAGCTTTTCACATGGTGAACAATTCTCTAAATTCACAAATTGATCATTCATGTAATTCATTAAATAATGGAACCTATAAATTGCATCTTCAAGGAAATGTCATTAATTTTAGTGATATTTTATACACACAATATTGTCCTGGAAAAGTGACAGTTTTGGAAATGTTTGCTTTTGATAAAATTATCATTGATTACGATCTGATTAGTAATGAATTGCAACAAGTCATTATATTAGCACCAAATTGGGAAATTATTTCAAACAGAATTATACGTTTAGAAGGTGCTCCTGGAGAAAATAGTTGGGCAAGTGAACAATAGTTGTTTTAGATGAAAGCATTTATTTAACTATTTTAAATTTAAGAAAGTTTTATTCATAATTTAAATAAAAATAATAATAAAAAACATTTTTAATAATGAATAATATAAAAATTTTTCAGAAGGCGGGAACATTTTCTGATCGCATATATGGTTTACACGGTTCACCCGGAGGACCCGGAGGATCATTATTTGGAATCGCTGATAATATTGTTAATGGAGAAAATTTGCATATTGTAATTAAAGGAGGCAAAGGAAGTGACGGACAAGACGGTTATGATTTGGTATGGAATTTTGAAAATATTTCTTGGTGCGATACATTTCGAGAGAATTTTGAAGGTGAAGGAGGAAAAGGTGGAACTAGCGGTGCTTATAAAATTCATTTACCAAGTAACGTAAATGATTCGAAAATACATTTTACGCTTTCTAAAGGTAATGACGGTAGGTCTGGTAAATTTATGAGATTAGAAGTGGATTATGCTTACATTCAAAATATGGTTATAGTAAAAGAAAGTCTTTGCCAAATAGTAGATCGAAGAATGAAAAATGAACTAAGTATTAGTTCCTCTAATATAGATACTGATATTTTTGAAGACAATTTTATGACAAGTATATCACATTACAGAATATTCATTTTAAACAAAGCCCTTACTTTACTGAACGAAGGGAATACGTAAATTTATATAAAAAGTTTAACGATCCGCAATTTGTACCATTTCCCTTTCTAGATGACTTTAACTATGAACTATTAGACTTAAAATACTTCTACTCTTTAAAAAGAAAAACATCTGTTTTAAATTCTATGTATACTGAAATGCGAGAAGTTCTCATGTTGCTTAAAAAACAAAAAAATTCTACTAATAAGTACGAAATATTTTCATCTAAATTAAATGAACTGTATAGAAAAATGAACTCAAATGTATAGAGGCGATTCTTCAGGATGTGGTCACTTTTGACAAACTTACTTTTTAAGAAAAACATTTTTTTTAATTAACTTTTTACTTATAAATCTTATCAATTAGTATTAATCTTCTAGATTTAGAATTGGTTGAAGGAGGCCAGTATATGTTGGATGATGAAAATGTGTGTAATGACAAATTGTTAATCAAATTGTAAGGAATTTGATTTACTCAGTTTCCTATCAGACGTTTAGTATGAAAAAAATGATAAACAATAGTTATTGTTAATATAATGTACAGCAGTTGACATTAATTTTGGAAGAATGGGAATTTTATTAAAAAGGCTTATTTAATGCAAATCTATGCCGATTAAAAATGTCTACTATTTTCTACATATACTCAGTATATGTTTTTAAGTGAGAAAAAAATTATAAACAATAGCTAATGTTTATAAAATGTACAGCAGTTGACATAAATGTCGGAAAAAAGGGCGAGTACATTAAAAATTTTAATTTAAGACAAATCTACGTCGATCAGAAGTGTCTACTATTTTTTTCCAAACTTAGTACTTGTCCCTCAGTAAAAAAAAATTATAAGCAATAGCTATTGTTTATATAATGTACAGCAATTGACATTAATGTCGGAAAAATGTGGATTTTATTAAAAAGTTTTATTTGAGGCAAATCTATGGCCGATTAAAAATGTCTACTATTTTTTTCCAAACTCAGTACTTGTCCCTCAGTGAGAAAAAAATTATAAACAATAGCTATTGTTTATAAAATGTACTGCAGTTGATATTAATGTCAGAAAAATGATTTTTGAGATTTAATTTAACATTTTTTTTTTGTAAAGGTAGTAATGAAAAAATTTTTATTAACAATATATTTTTGACTCACCTCTTTACACCTTTTTGTTATTTTCTTTCCTTATTTAAAAAAACTATGATATAAAGTACAACTTCAGTGTCGTGATGAATCCTCTTTCCTTTCTGTTCCCTCTGAAGACTGCGTTGCGATGCATGTCTGTAAAGAAAAATTTGTAATAAATATTGAACTAGAAAGATTTAAATTGTTGAAATAATTTTTTATACCTTGAGTAATTTTTTATTGAAAATGTTTTTTATGGTAAAAAGTTATGTTTAAATTACTATTGCAAAGAAATTATTTACTAAAACTAGCAAAAACTGACGCGCGCGAGCGCGCGTGCATTTTTTTTTCAACGTTTTATTTTAAATAATTAAAACTTTATTTTTTCAGCGAATTTGAACCATTATGATGTCACAATTTTTTAGCAAATGCTGTGAACAAATTGTGACGTCATTATGGTTCAAATGCCATTAAAGAAATTATTTCATCTTCTATTAATTAATATATTTTTGCATTTTCTTTTTTTATATAAATAAATTAAAATTTTTATTTATTAATTGAAAATATCTGTTCGCAGTTTATATTTTTTTTTTGTTTAATATTTTAATAATTTTATGTTTTAATATATATATAAATATATTTTTTCTATTAAAATAGCAATTCTTTAAAATGATTATTATTATTTTTAAGGGTATTTTAATTATTATTATGACGTTATAATGTTTTAAATAAATTTAAAAAATGGAAATGCTGGAAAGAATGAAAAATACATTTTTTTTAGAAATATAAAATTATTCAATTAACATCTTCTATCTTTATATCTTCTCTCTATATTAATATCTTCTTCTTCTATCTTCTTTGATTTAGTTGTAATTTACTTTTTTGTTTCCTATCTTCTTTAATAATTTTATGTTTCAATATTTTTAATTTTAGAGGCATTTCACGTCAGAAATATCACGATTTGCAAAGGGTATGCCGATTTTCGCAAAACTTCGTGGGATTATAGTTCTATATAAGAGACTTCTTTCCCCCAAATTTTTTCAAAAAAATTCAAAATTGTTGAAGATACGCCATTTTGAATTTTAATATTAATTTTATAAAATTTTGAATATCTCGGAATATTGTTTATGGATTTTTATGAAATTTACACATTTTTCAGGTAAAAGTATGTACTTTAAAATGCAAATAAAGTTAATAAAAAAAAATTAATTTTTAAATAAAAAAATTAAAAAAAATTTTTTTAAACAATTTTTTGTTTATTTACTCCTCTCTGAGAAAAATGTTATTAACATATTTGGATTCCTTATGAATTCACCTTTAATTTCATAAAAAAAAATTGATGGAGACTCAACTGGTTCCGGAGATATTGAATTTTTTGTAAAAAAAAGCGTCGCCGCGCCATAGCACCATACTGCACAAGTCGCGTAGTACGTTACCGCAGTCGTGCATTGCTGCTGTAACTATGACTATTTTTTACAAAAAATTCAATATCTCTGGAACCAGTTGAGTCTCCATCAATTTTTTTTTATGAAATTAAAGGTGAATTCATAAGGAATCCAAATATGTTAATAACATTTTTCTCAGAGAGGAGTAAATAAACAAAAAATTGTTTAAAAAAATTTTTTTTAATTTTTTTATTTAAAAATTAATTTTTTTTTATTAACTTTATTTGCATTTTAAAGTACATACTTTTACCTGAAAAATGTGTAAATTTCATAAAAATCCATAAACAATATTCCGAGATATTCAAAATTTTATAAAATTAATATTAAAATTCAAAATGGCGTATCTTCAACAATTTTGAATTTTTTTTGAAAAAATTTGGGGGAAAGAAGTCTCTTATATAGAACTATAATCCCACAAACTTTTGCGAAAATCGGCATACCCTTTGCAAATCGTGATATTTCTGACGTGAAATGCCTCTTTAATTAAAATTAATATATTGAATTTCATTTAAATTCTTGCAAAAAATTTGAGAATCATTGAATTTCTTCAAAAAATGTCATTATTTATGAAAATAATTCAATTTTCGCTAAAAATCATTAAATCAATTTTGGAAACCCTAATTAAATTTTTCTGAAGAATTATTTTTTATTTTTTGTTTAATAATTGTGTTTCTTTAATAATTTTAATTGGATATTTTTAAAGTAATTTAAATTTATGAACAATTTTTTTCAAGTTTTTAAAACTAATTTTTAAATTTGTAAATTTAGTTGAAACATCTATTGTTTACATTTATCCCTTGTTTACAATTACCCCAAATGGCCCTAATTGTAAATTGATTGTTTTGTTGATTTTTGAATTTTATTTCGGAATAATTCAATTTTTTATTATGTATTTTTCATGATTTGAAGACTTTATATAGTCTTTAAAAGACTTGATAGTATTTAAATAGTTGAAATGAAAGGCGGTGCCTAAAGTATTTTTTTTAAGTTCATTATTTTTTTTTCTTTTTAGAAAATCTATTTTCTATAATATTGTGTTAAAAAAAACGTTAACATTTTATATTTTATTTGAACAGAAGATAACGATAAGTTTAATTCTTGCAAAAGAAAGCACTTATAAGTTAATTCTACACACAAACACACACAGAAATACGTTTATTTTTTACGTAAGTGCCAATAAATTAATTTCAATTTTTTATTTAAAATGAAATAATTTAATTTTGAATTAATTGTATTTTTGATATTTGAATAATTAATTATTATTTTGAACAATTACATTTTTCAATGATTTCAAAATAATTAAATTTTTATTAAAAACAGAATAATTTATTTTTGAATTAATTAAAATTGTTTGATTTATTTTTGAATAATTAATAATTGACTTTTGAATTATTTAAAATTCAAATATTGTAAAAAATTAATAAAATATTTAAAAAAAACAATTTATTTTTAACATAATAAAAAAAGTAATTTATTAAAATACTAAATTCAAATAGATTTTGAATTGCAATTATTTTTAAAAATAAATAAATTTTTTGTGTAAAATCATTTTTTTAAAATTAATTAAAATTTGAAACAATTGAATTTTTTTTTTCATTTTTGAAAAATTAATTATTTCGAACAATTTTTTAAACATAAAAGAACCAGGAGCTATTATCACTCATAATAGCAATCAAAAAAAGCACACACTAAAGGGATCGCTCTTCCCAAAAAATTTAGACTCTAGATCCTGCACTGTATAAGTTAATAATTGAAGATTAATTAAATTTTTGAAAAATTAAATATTAAAAAATTAATTATTTTGAATAATTAATATTATTGAATAGTAATTTACGAAAACGACCAATGTAATAAAATTTAGAACGATATTTTTTATTGATTCAGGAAAATTGAATTTTTTAATTAAAATTAATAATCGTTGAAAATTGAAAATAATACAACTTTTATTGACAATTCGATATTTCAGTTTTTTTAGATTTTAAAAATGCATAAAATTTTCAATAATAATAATAAATCAAAATACAATAAATATTATCAATTATAATTATAAATAAAAAAAAAATAATAATAATAATAAGATATACGAATAAAATTTGTTTTTAAGTTATTTTGAGATTTTTATTTAACAAAATAAAATGAAATAATATAAATGATTTAATTAAGAAGAAAATTTTAATTAATAATTAGAATTTACCAATCTACAGTTTTTTTTCCACTGAAAACGGTAACCTCTCGCCTGATACCAGATATTTTTCCACGATTTTTCAAACACAATAATTCTTGTCACAATTTAACGTTTTTTAAAAACACCCGCACTACCGCATAACATAACATCGGAAATGTCAAAACATCACGAAAAATATAAACAAACAAAAAAATCATGATAATAATTCGCAAATGATAACTAACAACTAACTTCATACTGCGAACGGACAGAATGAAAAACCACAGACTTTAATAAAGTTAATTAATAATATAATTATTAGATTTAACAATAATTTTATTAAACAAAAATATTGTATTTTTTATTTCATGAATAATTGATAATGAATAGTAAGTATTGTATTATAATATATCAAATAATTCATAATTAGAAGAATTAAAAAAATAAATTTAAATAAATAATAAATTACTACAATTATTGTAATTGTAATGGCTATTTTCAATTACAGGCATTTTGCTAATAATTTGAACTAAAAATAATAAATAGAAATTGTTTATTAAAAAAATATTTTTATTTTTTGGTACTTACTCAGTAAATCAAAAATGACCGAAAATTGAAGGAAAATTCTTCTTTGAAAATTTGGAGATTTCTTGAATATCCTATTGAAATGATTATTATTTTATTAATTTTAGTTACTACAAATATTTAATTTTATTTTCTTGGCGAAATAAAACTTTACCTGAACAAAGGAGATCGAAGAACTGCGACGCAATTGCATACTCAGAAAAGTAGAAGGGGGAAATTATCCTGAAAGGAAAGAAAAGAGGGAGAAGGGGCTCAATTTCAATTTCGTACTTTTAATGCCTCAAAGATAAGATAGACAAGGACGTAATGAAAACAACTTCTATTAACAATAGCCAAGGGTCGTTATCTTTGTTTACAATATAGGGGATTAACTTTTCTCTATAATTCCTAATAATTTCAATGTCGACTAAATAACGAAATTATTTATTTTCAAAATTTTCAATATTTTTCCACTCAAATTTTATATTATATTAAAAATAAAATTTGAAAAAATGAAAGAAAATTATTTTTTCTTACACTAAAAATATTTTATTATCAAATAATAATTATTTAATATTGTTTTTGTACTATAATATTTTGAACGAAATATTTTTTTGAGTATAGAAACTACTAATATTGATATTTAAAAAAAGAAAACTTTAGAAAAAATTTTATTTTCTTATAAACAATTATTAATTTAATTAAATAAATAAGAATGTATTGGATTTATATGTATTTATTTACCATTACAAGAGGAGGAATAAAGTTCAGAGTATGGAATTAGACACAATAACTTGCAAAAGAAAATAAAAAAAAACCAACAACAATAAAAGTTTTTTGCATTTTTACGCAGCTTTTTTTTTCCTTTTTTTAAATATTTTAACGCTCAAATATATAAAAAACATTTTCGCAAATTTTTATACCACTCTTTTTTTGATAGCCTCTACGAACTTTATTTTAATTAATCCACATTTTCATTGCTATCGGGAGAGAAATGCAAAATAATATATTAGGCAAGATTTTTTGCAAAAATTTGATAAATTTTTAAGTAGCTATCGCATTGTTTTTTTGAAATGGAAAAAAACAGTTTTACGTATATATGTCAATAATTTAGGCACAAATTTAATTTATAAACTATTTTTTCTAAATATTTTACGAAATTCATTTCCCTCCCTTGAATTTTTTTTCTTCTTTTTTTTTTGTTTCTTTATTTTTGTTTTCCTATATAAAAAACGCAAATTCACTCTCTCATTTTCTCTCATTCACAACTTATACAAAAAATGAAATATTATTTTGTACTTATGAGAAAAAGTGACGCGCTTTGGATTTTTTTTAAATATTGACAGTATAAATGGATAAACAATAGGAATGAAATTCTCACCATTGATCGTCTAAGATACTAAGTTTCTGTTTTTTTCTTCACTTATTTATTTTTTATATTCAAAACTTAATGATGCGACTCTTTTTAATCTATAATTATCTGAACTGGCTATTTGGTGGCCACGCATCGATCTTAATTTAAATTTTTATTTTTATTTCTTAATTTTTAGAGATTCGATAACACTATAGTGCACTCTGCAAGGTCTCGTTAAATTATTTATCAAAAAAATTGTTTCGTTTCTCTAACGATTTTTTTATTTATTTTTTTTCAGAATGCTGCGTTGATCCCGTTTGTGCATTTTTTTTATTGCAGTCTTTTGGGATTTTGATGCCTTCAATGAATTTAACTTTTAAATCAGATTTCAAATTTCCAAAAGTATTTTTAATAATTCGTTTTTAATTTCGAAATTTTAATTTTATAATCGTTTAAATTTAATTAATAACTAGTCCTTTGAATAAAATTTTCGAACTGAAATCAAGAGAAAAATTAATTCTTTTGTCATGAAATTAAATTTTGTCAAGAAAATAAAAAAAAATTTTTTTTTCCGAACAAAAAATTTACTTTTGGAAATTTTGACGAAATATGATGAAAGTCGAACATCTTCAGTCGAATGATAAGGGGATTTTTCCTTATGTCTAAAATTACAAAAGAAAAAAAACCATCGAACTTACAATATTATTCGAAATCGCAATAAACTTTAAATATTTTTTCTATTTTTTTTTATAAATTTACGTAAATATTTTAAGAAAATAACTAAAGTGAAACATTTTTCTTTTCGAAATTTGAGCCATATAAAAAAAAATTGGCAAGAGATTCCTTTCCTTTTGCCTTAAATATAAATTATAAAACAGTTAACCAGAACTTAAAACAGACATATAATAAAAAAATAACAAAAAATTTTCTCGAAAAATTGATTAACTGTTTCCAAAATAAGAATATAATTTTCTTTTTTTTTGTATCGAATCTTAAATTTTGAAGCGTTTTAAAAACGCTAATCTTTCAAAATAAAATTCGATTTTCGATGGAAATGTTACGAAACTCTGAGTTTGTTTCGAGTTCTGGTTGAAAATCTTTTTTTTTATACAATTTCTGACTAGGACATTCTCACTTAGGAAAAATCGTCCGCAGTTAAATCAGCACTCGTTGAAAATTGATTTTTTTCACCACGACTTATGCAAACGTGTCCTGTTATCTTTTTCTTTCTCCTATGTAATTTCTTATCATCGATTATTTTTTATCTACTTATAAACTTATCTAAATGCAAACATTTGCCATTCTACGCTAAAATTATTCCCTCGTTTTTTTTCAATAAATATTACAATTATGTACAAAAATTCGACCATTCGCGGAGTTTATTTTTCTTTCTATTTGAAGCGGAATTTTTTTCAATCATTAAGTATGTATTACAATTCTTTTTTTCTGTTTATAAAATCGAGAAGCACCTTACAAACGGGGATTAATCGAACATGCGTGCAAAACGATACTCGCTACGTGCGATTGAAATGCATGAAAGATAAAAAGTGTACAAATGATTTTTTTTTCTTTAAATCTTAATGGAATGGCACTAAGTGTTTCCCCGTTGTTTGGCCAAGCGGTGTTTTATTTTCATTGTTTTAGGTCGAATGTTATTTTTTTCTGGTCTCGTAAGGAAGATTTTTTTCTTTAAAAAGATATTTCTCTAAAAAGACTTTTCTTTTTTAAAGAAATCCTCTTGAGCGCGTCTCTTACAACATCAACATATTTAGATTAGATTTTTTAAATTATCACACTTTACACATTTATGCCATTAGCTTACTACCTCACTTATTTACATATTGGCCGAGTGATGTGCGGAATAGATCAATAGAAAGTCATCAAGTTTCGTTGCAAAGTCTTTTTATAATACGAAATTATCAAAAGTCTAGTTTTTTATTAAAGACCTACCTAGACTTTTTTTTTCTTTTAGGTCCCGTTCGTGGAAAACCAAACCGAATTCGTACATGCTGGAGGTTTAATATCAAATACAGAAAAAATTTTTTATATTTTGAAAGACTCATCAATTTTTGTGTTTAAAAATTTTGAAAGAAATTGATGGTTCTTTGAAAACAAGAAAACAAAAATATTAAACCCCCATTTGGAATAGAGCGTAGAAAAGAATTATTTCAGAAATAAAGAGTTTCTTAATTTGTACTTAAAATGTTTTTAATTCGCCTGAGAATTGGCAGTATTCAGGAAAATTGAGTTTCTCAATATTCAAGATTGACTCTCCGACTCTATTAAATAGAACTTGTAAATACTGTTATCACTCGTCTCATCGTACGGTAACTCGTTTCTTATTTTCCTTCTTTTCAAATAATTTTAATATCTTTATATATATAATATTTATAATTCAATATTTATATATATTTATATATTTATATTTACTATTTACGTTTAATATTATATTGATTGTATCAACAAAAAAATGTTTCTCTTCTACAAAAATTTACGGGTATTAAAGTGTAAAAAGATTTGTATAAAAAGTGTCTTTTGGTATTCTCCTTATAGTAATCTCTTTCTCTCTCTAAAAAAAAAACTCGAGTCAAAGTCGAAGAATACTAAAGAAAAAGAAAGAAGCACTAAGTCGCATGTAGAATCCGCTTTTTGAAAAAGAAAAGAAAAAATTACAATGGCCACTGTACACGATAATATCGATACACATTAACTACAATAAATTCGCCTCCATTTTTCCACGAGAAAAAAAAAGTAAATAAAATTCTTTACCTTTTCTTTTGGAAACTTCATCTTCTCCGAATCATTTTTAACGCCCCCTCTGGCGAAAGTCTGTCCAGACCCGTATTAACAGAAATAGAGATATGACTCTTTATATACGTCGTATCGCTTTTGCTTTGGTTTCGCTTTGTTGGTTCTGTTCCGAAAAAAAACAGAAAAATGAAAAAAAAAAAGGAAAAATTTTACAATTCTGTAACCGCATACAGATTTGGATCGCTTCCTTGTACCTGGCTCAATGTTGGAACGGCAGCCGCTTTTTCTTGTCTATTATGAGCACGATTATAAGTACCGTACATATTTGGAACGGCATTATTTTGACCAGTATCATTAAATTGTCCACGTGAAAAATTACGATCCAATGTTCTCACTTGATCTTGTACTTGATCTTGTATACGTATATTTGGCGCTTTATTTCTCACCAATGAACGAAATTGATTCATATTTGTTTGTGAACGTGATTCAAATTCCCATGTTGGTTGATTTATTGGATTTGGTGGTAGCGGTCGATTTTGATTCCAGGCAGGCGTTGGTCCACGTTTGAGATTTGCCAAATTTTTTGGATCCAATGTTTGTGTTTTACGTGAATCTTGAAACGTTGCCAAATGAGCGGGTCCATGTGAATTGTGGGACAGAGTGCCGGTGAATGATGCCACACTCGGTGTCCAAGGTGGTTCTCTTCCTATTTTTGATGAAGAAAAAAAAATGTACAATTTTAGAAAAGTCTTTAAATTGTTAAAAGATTTCGAAAATTAAATTTATTTTATAGTAAGAAATAAATAAAAAAGGTTTGCCAACAAAAATTTAATTTTGTTCATCTCTGACTATCCCTGATTTTCAGATAAAATTTTGACTTTTTTTCCTGATTCTGAAGAATATTCTGATTCACTCTAAAAATGAATAGATACTAAAAAAATATTCTATTACATTTATTTACGAATTTCTTTAATTGGAAAATTTTTCGAAAACATCAATAACTTCATTTTTAAATAAATATTTAATCAAATTATTATTTTTCCAAAAGAATTAAATTTTTCAAAAATTTCAAATTCAAACCTCTTTGAAATTCAACAATTTATAAAAAGAAAATTATTACAAAACATGAAGAAATCGATCATGTTTTATAAATTAAAGATGACTGAGTAAAAAAATTATTATTTTCTATTATAAGAATATTTTTACTGTAAATTCTTCAAAATTAGTTTCATCATTTCAATTCGAGTATTATTTTCTAGAATTTTTCGAGGAATTTTTAACTAAAATTCTTCTTTAAATCAATTATTTTTAATAATTTCTAAAAAAGTTTTTTAAAAATTTTCAATATATATTAGAAAATAAAAACTTGACATAATTTGAAAAAAAATTCAATTAAACTTTTTCAAAAAAAATAATTCTACAGAATTGTTAGTTAAAAATATGAAAAATTCAAATTTTCAGAAATTTTAAATTGAAACCTTTTCAAAATTCAAGCTATAATGCTTTTAATATTCAATTATTGTCCAAACTATTAACTAAAATTAATTTTTAAATCAATTTTTATAACAAAAATTTTATGAGAATTGAATTATCATAAAAATTATATCAACAAATTTTTAAATAATTGAATTCTTTTGAAGAATTTTAATCAAATTTTTAAGAATAATTACATTTTTCAAGAAATTCGATTAAAATTATATTAAAAATAATTGAAATTCTACAATGAGTTTCATTATTTATGAAAATAATTGAATCCCTCTTAAAAATTTTTTTAATTATGAAAATAATTGAAATTTTTGAAAAATATTTTATTAAAATTTTCGAAAATAACAGAATTTTGGAGAACAATTTTATTATTTACGAAAATAATTGAAATTTTGCAAATAATTTTATTAAGACTTTTGAAAATAATTGAATTTCAGAGAAGAATTTTATTATTTATAAAAATAATTGTAATTTTGAAAAGAATTTTAAAAAAATTTTCAAGCATAATTGAATTTTTGCGAACAATTTTATTATTTTTGAAAATAATTCAAATTTTGTCAAGAATTTTATTAATAATTTTTAAAAATAATTGAATTTCGATAAGAATTTTATTATTTATAAAGATAATTGAAACTTTGAAGAGAATTTTTTGTAAAATTTTGAACATAATTGAATTTTATTATTTATGAGAATAATTGAAATTTTGACGAGAATTTTTTTTTAATTTTTGAACATAATTGAATTTCTGCAATGAATTTTATTATTAAAAAAAAATAATGAAATTTTGACAAGAATTTTCTTAAAATTTATGAAATTAATTGAGTTTTGGAGAATTTTATTATTTATAAAGAAAATTTGAAATTGTAAAGTGTATTTTTGAATAAACGAAAATAAATAAACGAAATCTCTCAATTAAAATAAACTCGAAATATGTCGTTTGTGTTAAAAAGTGATTCTTCCCAGAAAAGATATAAAAAAAATTGAAATTGAATTAGAAATTTAAAAAAAAGAAGATGAAAAGTTTAATGTAAAAATCTTACCCGGTCCCGAGGGGGCGTGTCCTCAGTAGAAATCACTCGATTCGAGGGTTTTGCATTGTTTGCTTAAAGTCGCGTACTGACCAGGTTGATCGAGTCCAGTACGGTGATCGTTTCGTCCGCTCGTCGAGTGTTGATTATGTTGAGATTTGTGATCTGCTCCACTTCCATTGATTCCCCCACCTCTGTAAAAATCAATTAAAAATACAAAGTTGCAGTATTTCCGTTTTTTCTCCCCTTTCAACAATGTTCAATTTTTATTTAACACTAGAACTCCCTGCGGATAACTTGCTTTAATTAAAAAAATTCAAATTCCCATTTTTCCAGTAGAACAATTTTTTTGAAAAAGTAACTTAAAATTTCTCTTTTATAGCGAATATTTTATTTTAACTTTATTTTTAATTAGCCATTTTATTTTATTCCAGTAACGAATTTATTTTGCATAATTAGAGAAATTATTTTCTATAATAATTAATTATCTAAAAATATATTATTAAAAAACAAATTGAAAAAAATTTATTTGTAGTAGAAAGAAATTAATAAATAATTTAATTATATAGAAAATATCTATAAAATGAAAAAACTAAAAATTAGGAAAATTCTATTCGTAGTTAAAATAAATTCACTTTAATAACATTTTAAATTGATAAATATTCTTATAATTATTAATATAGATTATTATCAAGGAAAAATTGTGCATCAAAAAAAGAAAGAAAGTTCTAGTGTTAAAATTGAAAAATGAATAATGAAATTCTAAAAATTTCTCCGACGACGAAGACAAAAATAAAGTTTTTTAATTAATTTAATCAAATTTTTCAATAAAAATTAAATTCTTCCTTCTCTAATTTATCATTTCAATGAAATTAATATAATTTGTTCAAGAATTTAATTATGTAATGCATTTTTAATTTATTTTGAAATTAATTTTAACGAAAATTTTTCTACAACACGACTATTGTTATTTTTTTTCTTATCCTTTTTCTTCGTTTAGTTTTCGTCTTCGTTATTGAACGTTCTCTAAAACACTCAAAGCTGGGAATTTTAATAGCCGAGCACATTCTTGACAATAATGAACGTTTTAAGATAGAAATGTATTTAAAAAATGATTTTTTTTTTGAATGATTGAATGAATGAAGAAACGAGCAAAAAAGTCTAGTTTGAAAAATATTGTAAAAGTGTGTATAATATAAAAAATATATCATCGAAGCGAAAAACTATTTTCAATCAATATTGAACGTCTAAGACGCAAGGCACAACAATCGTGTTAGAAAATGAACCAAAAAAAAACGAATTGTTAAAAAATCCTCTAAATATTCTGTGAATTAAACTATTTCTTTTTTTTCTATTAATTGTAAGGTGATTTGAAAACTTTTCTTCTTTAAAAAAAACTTGTTTTTAATTGAAAAATTAAATATTTTTTTTATTCTGTAAAATTGCTCCTGAATTTCTTTCCCATCTGATTTAGTCTTTAATTCAATAATTAATATTATTAATTAATTAATTTTCTGTAAATTTACTACTAAATTTAATTCCCACTTGATTTAGTTTTTAATTCAATAATTAATATTACTTTTCTGTAGAATTACTCCTAATTTCACTTCCCACTTGACTTAATTTTTAATTCAATAATAAATATTACTAATAAAATAATAAAAATATTATTTAATCCTTATTTACCAGAAAATAGAATCAAATTTTTACTATTCGACACAATTTTTAAAATTAACAGATTAAAATTTAAATATGTGCAAATATGGTAGTCGGTAATATTTTGAATTTAAAAAAAAAGTTTTCGAATCACCTTGAATAAAAGTTTAGTACGTAAAAGAGAATTTGAAAGATCTGAATACAAGTGAATATTTAAATTTCTACTTTTTCTTCTGTTATTAAAAATATATAATCGGTATTCTTTTTAACTTTCTACTTCTTTTTACTTCCTTAGCCGTTGTTTTTTTATTTCAAAAATGGTTCAAGTCTCTTTTACGTACGAAGATGTTTATAAGAAAGGAACATAAAAAAAGATTCATGCACAAACTTTAACATGCTCTCGTGCAGCTGGCGTGCTCGAGCTGTCGCAGTAGCGTAGGACGGCGGGGGCGGCGTTAGCAGGAGAGGCTGCTTAATAGTATTATGATTGCCATGAATATTTGGATTAAGAGAAGGAGCTGTAGGCGGGTACGACCCTTGGCCACGGAGAGTCCTTGCTGCTATCGCTTGCGACGCTGCCGACGGCGGTAAAAACGGATCTTGCTCTTCGACCTGGTGGTAATCCCTTCTAAAACAAAACGACATCAATTATAGCCAATATTGTCAATTTTCACATTTTTCATATTATTTATCGACTATCTTTTCTTATTTATCAACTATTTCCAGTTTTTTAGAAACTGGAAATTATTTATTTATCAACTATTTCTAATTTTTTAGAAACTATTTTTATTTATTTATCAACTATTTCCATTTATTTACAAACTATTTTTATTTATTTGTCAACTACTTTTTTTAGAAACTATTGTTATTTATTTTATCAAATATTTCTGTTTATTTACAAACTATTTTTATTCATTTGACATCTATTTTTTTAACTATTTTCATTTATTTATCAAATATTTTTATTTATTTATTTATTTATAAACTATTTTTATTTATTTCTCAATCAATTATTATCAACTTAATTTGTTTTTCTATTACTCAAAATAATGTCAATTATTACAAAAGTCACAATATTACATAATATTTAAAAATAAAAAAAATAAATACCGAGAATGATTTTTTATTTTTAATATTATTTTTCTTTTAATTATTAAATATATTTTACCGCATTTTTTTATTCGGTGTTTGCTTTTTTGTTTCTAATATTTTTAATAATTTTTCTTTTTAAATGCTTTCAATTTAAAAAAATTAATGTATTGAAAATCATTGAATTCTTGCAAAGAAATTTATCAAAATAATTGAATAAAATAGTTCTTCATATCCGAGATGAATTATAAAAATTCCAATGGGCTCAAAATTTCGCCCTGAAGTGAAATAAATAAATAAAAAAAATAAATAAAAAATAATTTAATTCATTCAAGAAATTTTATTAAAATATTAAAAATAATTTAATTCTTTCGAAAAACAGATACTATTAAAATTTTTGACTATAATTAAATTCTTTCAAAAAATTTCATTAATTTTTTTAATATATATAATCGATTCTGTTAATAATTGTAATTAATATTTTTACTATTAAAATTTATTAAAATTATTATTAGAAAATTAAATTCTTTTAACCAATTTTATTAGAGTTGTGGTACATAATTAAATTCTTCTGAAGAATTTCTTTCATTTTTTTCTAAATAACGTATTTTTTTTAATAATTTTATTTAAAAATTTTGAAAATAATTGAATTAAAAAAGAATTTTTTTCAACGTTTTAAAATAATTGTGTCTATTAATAATTACTTATGAATGAAAATTTGATTATTGAATTTTATTAAAATTGCGCATTCAAAGTAACTAACTTCCTGAGAAGAATTTTATTCAAATTTTTAAAACTAAGTATATTTTTTTGAGTAATTTCATTAAAATTTTAAAAATAATTGAATCCTCTCGAGAAGTTTTAATAAAATTCTATTGAAAATAATTTAATTCCTTCGAATAATGTTATTATTTATAAAAATAATTGATTTCTTGCAAAGAATATTATTAAAATTTTTGAAAATCCTAATTAAATTCTTTTGAAGAATTTTCTTAAGTTCTCTGAAAATAATGTAGTTTTTTTTAATAATTTTAATTGAAAATATTGAAAATAATTGAATTCCTGAGAAGAATAAAATTTTACTATTCATAAAAATAATTTAATTGTTTTGAAGAATTCATTAAAATTTTAGATATTGAATTCTAACGAAAAATTTTATTAATAATTTTAAAAAATTAATTGAATCCTTTCAGGAAATTTTATTAAAATTATTTATAAAAATAATTGAATTTTTGCAAAAAATTGTATTATTTATAAAAATAATTGAATTTTTTCGAAGAATATTTATAAAAGTAATTGAATTGTTTCATAGAATTCATTAAAATTTTAGAAATTAAATGAAATTTTTCGAGAAATTTTACTAAAATTGAATTGAATTAATTAAGTTCCCGCAAAGAATTTTATTATTTTGCAAATAATTGAATTATTGTGTAGAATTTTATTATTTATAAAAATAATTGAATTCTTGCAAAGAATTGTATTAAAATTTATGAAAATAAACAATACTAATTAATTATGTACTTGAGTGGATTTTTAAAATTTTCAATCTGATTTAAAAATTGAAGTTCATATTTGAAAATAAAAAATTTTGTAATAATAATAATAATAAATAAATAAAAAACTTAATAATTTAAAATTAATAAAAAAATAATTAAAAAATAAAATTAAAATTACAACTGATAATTAAGAAAAAATTGAAAAATTCAATTCTCAAGAGGCTAAAAAATAGTTTCTCTAAAAAATTATAGTCTTTTGAGGAAAAAATTAACGCACCGTTTTCTAATGTAGATCCAAGTGTGCGAATCGACCCAAACAAGAATCGTGAAGAGGAAACCAGCCGCTAAACTTGCCGCTAACATAAATGTGAGGCCGTATCTAAAAAGTAAGATTTATTATTTTATTTACTACATTTGCAAATTATAAAAATCTTAAAAATTACATTTTCTACCAAAAGGAAATAATAAAAGAAAGAAAGAAGAAAGAAAGAAGAAAGATGAAAAGAAAAAAGAAAAGAAAACAAGGGAGAAAGAAAAAAAGAAAAAATAGAAATATAAGAAAAATATATAAAAATATTGTTATCAAAGACATAAATAAAGTCTCTTACAATCCTAAGTGGCAAAGACTCTTGACCGCCGTGTTGTACTGTTTATAAAAAGGTTTACAGTCAAGAAATGCTTGTAGGCCCGACCAGAGTCTCTCGAGTGTGTTGATCTCACTTCTGATGCTCACGAGTTTAGTCGATTGTTGATCCTTGTAAAGTTGTTCGGCCAATAGTTTCATGCTATTCAAATTATTTCTCATGTTGACTGTTGCGTTTACACCTTCACGAACTTTACGAGTGAATGGATTGTTGAGTGTACTCTCACATTGTAAATAATATGAGACAACTTTAGAATCATCAGGATTATAATTTCCCGCAGTCATTGATATGAAAAATCCATCGGGCGACATGCACAAATCGCCGAGTGCAACTGAAGTCGCGAGATACATTGACGTCATCAACCATGAGATTATTATAGCGAATAGGCCAAAAACGGAAAATCTGAAATTTAACAATTTATACTTTTTATAATAGAAATTACTCATTTTTACAATATTTTTTGAAATATCAAATCATTGTTAATTTTATTTAATCTTTTATCAATTTCTGTATTAATTTTAATCAATTTTTATTTAAAAAAGGATAAAAAACGATTAAAAAAGGATAAAAAAAGGATTCGTTTAGAATAGAAGGAAAAAAGACAAATATTTAATTGAAACGTTTATTTGTCTTTATTTTCTCCTTTAAAAGAAAAGAAGAAAAAGCATTGATAAGTGATTAAAATTAAAACATTGATTGAAGTGTCTGTAGAATAATAAAAATAAAAATAAAATAGTCTGTTATTTGAGATAATGTTGAAAAAATTTAAAGAGAGAGAAAAATCTTACGTGATAAGAGCGCATCTGGAATGGCGCGCGACTCCGACCAGCAGAACCACGCATAGAATAAGAAGAACGCTGAGCACAGCCATTGTAATAGGCCATCTTAATTGTTCGATTTTTTCGACAAATGAAATAATATAAGCTAGGCCAACTCCATTTAGGGGTGCACGAATTTCATAGCTACGATCCACCACAATACTGGCGTTATTATTCATTCTCTCCAAGGCCTTTAATAATAAATCCAAAATTGTTTTATTATTAGCCGGTGCATCGAACTCATCCTCAAGAGCAGTCATTTGTGTCAAGATTCGTTTTTGCACTGTTTGATCGATTTTGTCGGTCTGAAAAAACACATAAACATATGAATATATTAATCTTCGGAATTGTTCAACAATTACAATAAATTTAAATAATAATTTGAAATTTATAAATGAAAATTACATTAATAAAATTAATCAATAAGAATAAAAATTATCAAAAAAAAACAATGAATAAATAAAAATTACAAAAATATAAAGAATCGATAAAAATTAAAAAAATAAAAAGGAATATGTACATAAAGAATGTAAAAATCTATAGGGTAACTGCACCAATTGCCGAGGGTGCTCCAATTGTCGAGGATAATAATTTTCTTTTTTAGATAAATAGTATAATATATAATATTTAAGAACAAAAAAAATTTCTAAATAATCTTTGTATTTTCAACTGTATATTTATATATACAAATTTCGTAGCGATTCTACTAAAATAATTATTTAATTAATATTATAATTCACTGCTGTGAAATTTACACGAATCTCCATTTTCTTAATACTTCAGGCTGATTAAAACAGATTTTTAGAAATGAAAATTAAACGTATTTATAATGACTTTTTGTGTACAAAATTATTATTATAATTTTGTACACGAACTAAATTAATTTTGTATGCATGTTTTTTTGTTAAAAAAAATATTTAATATTTTTTAAAAGCAAATCATCGGTATTTGGTTCCTTTTTTTTGACAGTTCCATTTTTCGAGGTAATGACTCGAGAATTGGTGTAGTCACTTTTTTCGCTGATGCACCATTTATCGATGGTTAAGTGTTTATTTACTAAACGTCAAACATAAATGCCAAACATTTATAGGTACAGAGAAAAAGAAAAAAAATGCTCCAAAAATTTACAACCAACAGAAAATAATCAACCAAAAAAACGAGGAAGACCGAAAAAAAATTAATAAAAAAATGCATTATTTAAAACTAAAAAATTTTGTACTATAGTTTAATTATAATTAACCATTATATTTACAGTTCGTAATAAAAGTTTATTTTATTCGTTTACAAATTTAATGTGACTTAAATTAATTTATTTTTTCAATTAATGTCTGATTAACAAAATTGATTAAATTTAATTAACTTATATTTATAAAAGTTTAAAAAACAGTTAAATAATTTTCTGTCCTGTATCATCTACTATAAAAATGTTTTATATCGATATTATAAATTATTCAATTATAGTTAAATAAATATATTTGTTTTCTGGTAATGTTCTATAATATTTTTATCGAAAAAATAAATATCTACTCGATTTTCTAATATCTGTACAGGTTAATTGTTAGGTTATATTGGGTTATATGTTTAAAAATGTCATACCCTCGACAATTGGAACAGACCCTCGAGAAATTAGCACAAGACCATCGACAAATGGTGCTTTTGCTCGATTGACTTTTAAATATATTTTTTGCTTAACAATTTAGTTTATATTAAAAAAATAAATATGAATATTAAACATTATTAGATCCTTCGTCCAAATATACAAAAATCAAATTTTAAAGTGCATTTACTTCCGAGAAAAAAAATGTCAAAGTCACATGTTGCCTAAAACCCTCGACAATTGGTACAGTTACCCTATTAAAAATCGTTCCAAACCGGATGTCTGTTATCAGATTAAAATTATTTTTGTTCGCCTTTTTGTCTTCAATTTTTTTCGTTATTTTTCTTTTCAGATGTTTCGACTTTTGAAATTAATGTATTAAAAATAATTAAATTTATATATAAAGAATTTTATCCAATTTTTTAACATAATTTACCTTTTTCGAAGAATTTTATTGACATTTTTAAAAACAATTCAAATATTTATTGAAACTTTATCAAAATTGTAAATAATTGAATTTTTTCGAAAAATTTCATTAAAATTGTATTGACATAATTAAATTTCTGCAAAGAATTTTATTATTTTGAAAATAGGTAATTTAAATCTTGTACAGAATTTTATTATTTTTAAAATAATTGAATTATTGCAATGAATTTTATTCCAAATCTTTAAATAACTGAATTATTTTACAGAAATTCTTTGAACTTTTCGTAATTAAATAATGGAGTTTTTTTCAGTAATTTTATTTTAATGTTTTTAAACTAATTGAATTTTATGAAAAATTTTTTTCAATTTTTTAAAATAATCGTGATTCTTAATAATTGTATAATTATAAATTTGACTACTGAATTTTATTAAAATGTTTTGTAAATAATTAAATTTTTCCAATAATTATATTAGTTACTTTTGAAAATAATTGAATTCCTTAGAAAAATTTGATAAAAATTCTATTAAAAATAATTGAATTCTGCTGAATAAATTTATCATTCATGAAAATAATTGAATTATTCCGAAGAATATTATTATTTATGAAAATAATTAAATTCGTGCGAAGAATTTTACTATCTTCAAAAATAATTGAATTGTGTCAAAGAATTTATTAAAATTTTAGGAAATAATATTGTATTCTATCAAAAAATTTAATTAATAAAGAATTTTATCAAAATTTTTGAAAATAATTTACTTTTTATACAAAGAATTTTATTGACATTTTTAAAAACAATTAAGTATATTCTTTAGTGAAACTTTATAAAAATTGTAAATAATTAAAATTTGGCGAGAAATTTTAGTAAAATTCTCACAAAGAATTTTATTATTTTGAAAATAATTGAACTATTGTGTACAATTTTATTATTTTGAAAATAACTAAATTATTGTCCATAATTTTATTATTTTGAAAATAATTGAATTATTACGAAGAATTTTATTACAAAATTTTTAAATATTTTAATTGTTTTACAGAATTTTTTTGAATTTTTTGTAAATAATGGAGATCTTTTTAATAATTTAAAAATTTTTAATTTTAAAAGTAATTGAATTTTATGAAGAATTTCTTTTCAGTTTTTAGAATAATCGTGATTTTTAATATTGTAATTAAAAATTTGATTACTGAATTTTATTAAAATGTTTTGTAAATAATTACATTTTTTCCAAGAATTATATTAGTCATTTTTGAAAATAATTGAATTCCTTAGAAAAATTTGATAAAAATTCTATTGAAAATAATTCAATTATGATGAATAAATTTATCATTCCTGAAAATAATTGAATTCTTGTGAATCAATTTATTATTCATGAAAATAATTGAATTCTTGTGACGAATTTTATTAAAATTTTTGAAAATAATAATTGAGTTCTTTCTGGAAGTATGTATTATTAAGGTTATTAAAAATAATTGAATCCTCTCGAGAAATTTTATAAACATTCTCTTTAAAATAATAATTTAATTCCTTCGAAAAAATTTATTAGTTATGAAAATATTTGAATTCTTACTAAGAATTTTATTCTAATTTAAAAAAAGTTAAATTGTTTCATAGAATTTAATTAGAATGTTTGCAAAATAATTGAATTGTTTCGACGAATTCTATTAAAATTTTAGAAAATTTAATAATATAATAAATAAAAATAAAAAAATACTTAAATAAAGAATGGAAATTAAAAATCTGTTCCAATTGTCGAGGGTTTTAGGCAACATGTGACTTTGACATTTTTTTTCTCGGAAGTAAATGCACTTTAAAATTTGATTTTTGTATATTTGGACGAAGGATCTAATAATGTTTAATATTCATATTTATTTTTTTAATATAAACTAAATTGTTAAGCAAAAAATATATTTAAAAGTCAATCGAGCAAAAGCACCATTTGTCGATGGTCTTGTGCTAATTTCTCGAGGGTCTGTTCCAATTGTCGAGGGTATGACATTTTTAAACATATAACCCAATATAACCTAACAATTAACCTGTACAGATATCAGAAAATCGAGTAGATATTAATTTTTTCGATAAAAATATTATAGAACATTACCAGAAAACAAATATATTTATTTAACTATAATTGAATAATTTATAATATCGATATAAAACATTTTTATAGTAGATGATACAGGACAGAAAATTATTTAACTGTTTTTTAAACTTTTATAAATATAAGTTAATTAAATTTAATCAATTTTGTTAATCAGACATTAATTGAAAAAATAAATTAATTTAAGTCACATTAAATTTGTAAACGAATAAAATAAACTTTTATTACGAACTGTAAATATAATGGTTAATTATAATTAAACTATAGTACAAAATTTTTTAGTTTTAAATAATGCATTTTTTTATTAATTTTTTTTCGGTCTTCCTCGTTTTTTTGGTTGATTATTTTCTGTTGGTTGTAAATTTTTGGAGCATTTTTTTTCTTTTTCTCTGTACCTATAAATGTTTGGCATTTATGTTTGACGTTTAGTAAATAAACACTTAACCATCGATAAATGGTGCATCAGCGAAAAAAGTGACTACACCAATTTTCGAGTTATTACCTCGAAAAATGGAACTGTCAAAAAAAAGGAACCAAATACCGATGATTTGCTTTTAAAAAATATTAAATATTTTTTTTTAACAAAAAAACATGCATACAAAATTAATTTAGTTCGTGTACAAAATTATAATAATAATTTTGTACACAAAAAGTCATTATAAATACGTTTAATTTGCATTTCTAAAAATCTGTTTTAATCAACCAGAAGTATTAAGAAAATGGAGATTCGTGTAAATTTCACAGCAGTGAATTATAATATTAATTAAATAATTATTTTAGTAAAATCGCTACGAAATTTGTATATATAAATATACAGTTGAAAATACAAAGATTATTTAGAAATTTTTTTGTTCTTAAATATTATATATTATACTATTTATCTAAAAAAAAAAATTATGTTCCTCGACAATTGGTGCAGTTACCCTAGTATCTATATGAAAATTCAGAAATAGAATTTATAAATAGTAAATACAAGTTAATAGATAATTTAATTAATTAGAACTATTTATCTAAATGAATAAATAATGAATTTAATTTCTTTGAAAGAATGAAAAGAATTCACCAGTAATTTAAAAAAAAAAAGAAAAGAATTCCCAAGCAATTCTTCTTCTATTGTTTTTACCTGATTGACGGCATCCATAATTAAATCGTTCATATGTTTAACCGCGGTGATTAATTGTATAATGCCATTGTGTACGTCGTCATTGCCATAAAGACCAACGGCGACAGCACCACAGCAAAAGAGAGCGAAAATTGCTAGGGAGCATTTTAGAAGAGCTATAGATCTTCTGTGACGAGGCTTCCGGTCGCAGCATCTTGTCACAAGATAAACCAATAGTACCAAGAGGGTGAAAATCAACCAAGCAGCAGGGATGCTTCCCAATATACCGAGACTCTGTAAACAAAAAGAAAATTTAATTAATTTTAAATTTATATATACCTATACAACAATTTAACTGAATTGCTTTTGTTTTTTCAATGGCAGCGAGAAAAATATTGCCACTTTAATTTCTTCAATTTTCCAATATTTGCTACTTTAATTTCTCCAATCTTTCAATATAATATTACCATTTTAATTTCTCCAATCTTTCAATATAAGAAATATCGAGAAAAATAAATTCTCTGCATTTTTATTTTATTTTGAATAATAATTATTATTTATTGAAATAAAATTAAATAAAATTTTTTCTGAAAATTAAAGAGTGATTTTTAACTTTTATCGAAAAGATTTTTCGCTTTCATTTAGAAGTGTTGTTTTCCCGAAGGCAGTGACAGAGTTCAAGACATTTATTCGAAAAAATCAAGGAGGCTTTCAGTGAAATTGAAGACTGATGAAACACTCATCGAAAGCGTATCGCTTTGTGTGTGGTGTAATCGAACAAAGATAAATTGACGTGAAGCCTGACACACTTGCTATAATACGAAATAAGTCAGATGAGGTCAAAGGCAAAGAACTTGATTGTGTGCCGATGGCAGATATGTTTCACTTCTCCAACTATATCTCGATACTGAAATCGAAGAGAAAAGCAAAAGAAGAAGCAGAAGGAGAAGAAGAAGAAGAATGAGAAAAGAAATCTAAACTGAATTTCGTATAGGACAACAAAGAATCTTTGTAAAGGCAATTATTTCACTTGACGAGTCACTGGAGCATTAATTTCCCTCAAGACATTTCCACTCGGCTACATTTTTACTGTAATATGTCTAGTGAAAACTTCGGCAAGTTATTCTCTTTCAAGCCGCACTGAACGAGAGAAAAAGGAATTTTTGTCGTATAAAAAAAATTCCCCACACAAAAAATAATACATAATATAGAGTTGCAGTTTTACAAGTTTTTCGGAGTGAAAAAATTAGACTACAGTTCGTATGTTGAAAATTCGAAACTCTTTCCTCCAAACAGAAAATAATATATAAATTATAAAATATTTATAAACAGAAAATAATTTCAAACAAATTAAATTCTTGCAAACGAAATATTTTAAATAATTGAATTCCTTCGAAGAATTTTATTTAAATTTTAGAAAATAATTGAATTCTTCCGAAGAATGTTATTATTTATAAAAAAAATAATTGAATTCTTCCGAAAAATATATTATTTATAAATTATTATTTATAGAAAAAATAATTGAATTCTTGCGAAGAATTTTATTAAATTTTTTTTAAATAAATAAACAAAACAATTAATTGTGTACGTAAGTGCATTTTTAAAATTTTGTAATAATAAATCTGAAATTATTCAAAAATTTATATTTGCCAATAAAAAAAATTCCTAATTTGCATAAAAGTAATAAATTGAATATCACGTTTCGCGCGTAACCTTTTATGCAATATTAAATATAATTGAAAGAAGAATTTCGAATTCACAAGATAATAAAACAGCGCAAAAATAAAAAGAAATTTATTCCAAAAATGGAACAATTTAAAAATAGAAAATTACTAAAGATAAAAACGATTCCCTGGTACGTGACTCAATAAAAGAAATTTGCCTAGAAACTTATTCGAGTTTCTGAGAATAAGAATAACATTTCTATGTAACACGTGGACGGAGTTGAATTCACAGTGAAACTGTGAGATGAGCGAGAATAATTTCAAATGAAAAGAAGAAGAAGAGAGAGAGAGAGAGAGAGAGAGAGAGAGAGAGAGAGAGAGAGAGAGAGAGAGAGAGAGAGAGAGAGAAAACTTGGGGAAAAAGAACCAGCATAAAAAGTAAACGAGAGAGAGTGTACAAAATTTCTTGTGTTTGTCAGGGGTGTGGATAGACACACGAGTCCCGCATGTTGCCCTAGGTGCATTATGCCAAAGTCTTTGTGCATTGTTTGAGCTTTCCTGGCTATTGTGCTTTCCAGTTACATAGCCTGAATTCCCATGTACTTCTGGCATCCATCTACCTTCAAACACTGCCACTTCACTTCTGCATCTCACTACATTCCAAAGCTTTTCTTTCTTTTTTTTCTACAATAAAAAAAAGAGAAACAAATGGAAGAATGAAAATCTACAAAAAAAATTAAACAAGAATAGTAGAAATGAAATTAATGTTCTATTTTTCAAAATTTTTTGAAGATATTGTCTTGAATTACTTCGAAACAGATGGAAATATTTTTTTTCTTTATCCAAATTTCTAATCGAATAAACAAAAATCTAATCGATTTTCTAATCGAATAAATTAATATATAATGGAATTTCTAATCAAATTCAAGTACTGTTTGAAAACGAAATTTTTTTTTACAATTTTAACAAGGTTGCCACAAAAATTTAATTTGGTTTTTCTCTCATTTCCAGACAAAATTTTGACTTTTTCCCTAATAACACTAAAGAATATTCTGATTCATTCTAAAAATTATTAGATACTCAAAAAAAATGTTCTATTACATTTATTTACGAATTTCTTTAATTGAAAAATTAGTCAATTTTTTATAATTTTGTAAAAAGTTCTTTGAGAATTTTCAAATGCATTTGATTACAATTCAATTTTATGAAATTTCGATTATTCGGAAATTCTTCAATTAAATATATATATTAAAAAATAAAACCTTGAAAAAATTTCAAAACAAAAATTAATTAAACTTTTTCAAAAAAATAATTTCTATTTAATTGTTATTTAAATTTTCAAAAATTTTAATTTGAATCCTTTTCAAAATTCAATTATTTCTAAAAATTCAGGCTATAATGTTTTTAATATTAAATTATTATCTAAAATTTTACCTAAAATACACTTTTGAAACCATTTTTATTTGAAAATTCAGCTAAAATTTAATTATTTAAATTTCATGAAGAATTTTATTAACAATTTTTTTAGTAATTGAATTCTTTTGATAATTTTTAATAAAATTATTAAATACATTTTTCGAGGAAATCGATTAAAATTGAATTAAAAATAATTGAAATTCTGGGTTAAGTTGTATTATTTATGAAAGTAATTGAATTATTGCGAAGAAATTTATAAAAAATTTAACTAATCAATTTAACTATTTGTGTAGAATTTTCCAAAATTTTTTTAATTAATTGAATTCTATTGGAACATTTTATTAAAATTGTATTAAAATGTCTAAAATAATTGAATTCTTTCGATGAATTTTAATAAAAAATTTTAAAACATTTTTCGAAGAAATCGATTAAAATATTGTACTAAAAATAATTGAAATTCTGCAATGAGTTTTCTTATTTATGAAAATAATTGAATTTTTGCGAAGAAATTTATAAAAAATTTGTAAATAATTATTGAATTTTTGTGAAATTTAAAATTATTTATGAAAAAATTGAAGTTTTGTGTAGAATTTAAAAAAAAATTTTTTAATTAATTGAACTCTTTTGGAAAATTTGATTAAAAGATAGTAGATATTGAAAATCATTGAATTGAGGAAAATTATTGAAATTTTGCCAAGAATTTTATTAAAATTTTTTTAAATAATTTAATTTCTGCAATCATTTGAAACTTCTTCAAATTTCAATTTTTTTTTAGTGTTTTTAACTAAAATTCTTAGCTATAAATCCAGTATTTTTAATAATTAATTAACTATATAGTAAAAAATTAGACTAATTTCTGAAGAATTTAAATTATTAAAATTTTTCAAAAATCTAAGTTCTTTAGAATTTTTAATTAAATTCATTCAAAATTGAAATTTTTAAAAATTTCAAATTAAAACCTATTGAAGTTCATCTATTTATGAAAATTGGAAACGCAACTCTTTTAAAATTAAATTAATTTCCAAATATCGAAATATTTCGTAATTGAATTTAATAATTTCAAATAGAATTGAAAAATTTCTAAACGAATTTAAAATATTTAATCGAAATATTTCAAATCGACCAATACTGTCAATTTAGAATAATATAAATTAAGATTATTCTCCACTTTTGTCATAAAATTAATAAAAAAAAATCGATAATGGATTATTTAATAATTAATTGACTGTGGACTCAATAAAATTTTATCACTAAATCACTAAGAAAAATATTCGAAATAGTTCATTACTGATTAAAAAATTAGCTTCAAATTGCGATTTTTGTCATAAAATCAGTAAAAAAAATCCAAAATGAATTATTTAATGATTAATTAATTATTAAAATTATTAGAATAGTAAAAAAAAATTTCTAAAACAGTTAATTACTGCAAAAAAAAAAAAATATTCGTTTTATCAGATCTGTGAAAAAGGAAACCACCTAAAAAGATTAGTAATGAATTATTGAATGGTAATTATGAGAAAAAGAAAATGTTCGTCTCATTAAAAATAACGATAAACATACCTCGAGATAAATTTCAGAACGGGGACTGAACGTATTGTTGACGGAGTGAAGAGATACATTGAGATGGGGCAAATTGTGAAAAAATCTCGTTAGCTGGGTCACAGTATATTGTTCCGGAAGTTGACCTCCCGCCATTTTGGAGAACCCTTGGCTGCCGAAACCGCCGATGAAAAACCACTCCTTACTTGTCAAGACATACTAGACTATCTGCAAACAAAAAAAAAGAATTAATTGCCAAAATATTTTAACAATTTTTTCATTTTATTTCCAAAAATTTTACAATTTATTAAATTTTGTTTATAATCAAATAAAATTTATACAAATAAAAATAAAATAAAAATTCTATTAGATATGTTTAGAAACTTCTGAAAGTTCAAATAAATGAAATATTTTTTCTGTATAGGTATATTTTCAAAAATTACCGATTGTATTAAAAATAAAGAACTTAATTAAAACATTTTGAAACTATAAATTAATTTTTAACACCAGTCGCAATATTGTAATAAATTTTAAATAAGAAAATAAAAGTTTAGGTTGAAAGATTCGGAACTTCTTTTTTTGAATTATTAAAAACAGTAGAATTAGAATCAAGAGATCTTTTTAATTTTCTTCCTATTGACTGCCCGATGATGAGCGAATCATCAGAAGGCAAAATTTAAATAAAATAACAATTCTAATTAAATTCTTTTTTTGAAATTAGAATCAAGAGATCATTTTAATTTTTCCTTTCGACTGCCCGCTAATGAGTGAATCTTCTTAAAAGCTTTCAAAGATCGAGTCTTTCGTTGGGGAAATGAAATTTGTCAAGGAAAGAAAAGAAAATAATTTTTTTTAGCAAAAAAAAAGTCAAGTAGATAGTGGGTGGAGAGGGTGGTTAATGGGAAATGCACTTTAACTTTTATCAGAGCGTCAACGTTTCAGGACCTACCCAAACGTTTTAGCGGGCAGATTCAATTACGCTTGAAGCGCTGTTGTGGAACGAACAAGCGCTTAATTAATGAAATCCACGCTGGCCGTTTCAGACTCCACTAACATTTATATATATATATTCGTATGTATGAGGAGAATCCTCGACCTAGTTTTGACAATTTTATGAGGTCTACGATTTTGAGATTTGTCTTAAACACGTCAGAGTAAGCCGAGGATTAGGATTCCTGACAGGAGCAAATCTAGAGACAGAGAGTGTGATTACACGTTATCCACAATTAAATTAATACTAAAATTGCAGTAAATAAATAAGTTAAATAAAATTAAAGTAAATAAATGAATTACTTAAAATTAAAATATTCGAGTTGATTATTTTTACTAATATTTGATTAATTCGAAATTAGTTATTCAATTATTTTGAAAATTAAATAATCAAAATTAATTATTCAATGTCAAATCCAAAGTTGGCTATTCAATTTTGATCTTAAAGTTAAGAAACGTTCAATTGAACGAAATTGATTTATTTCTTCCTCTAATTAAATTTTTATTATAATAATTTTGCGACACTAGCAAAAACATTAAAGCTTCTAAATCTAAATTTAAATTTAAAATTTTTATTTTTATCAATAATTTATGAAGATATTTTTAATAAAAAATACTTCGTTCATTTTGTGTTTTGTCAAAACAAATCAAAATTATTTATTCAATTTCAAAATTATCTATTCAATTATATTAACAATTAAATATTCAAAATTGGTTATTAAATCTCTAAATCAATACTCAAAATTACCCAAATAAATTATTTAAAAATTAAAAAGTTAAAAATTAAAAATTGATTATTCAAATATTAGAACCTAGCAAATGTTATGCGCGAAACGTGATATTCAATTTATTATTTTTATTCAAAAAATGTAATAAAATTTCTTGAATCAATTCAATAAATTTCATAAATAATAAAATTCTTCAACATAAATCAATTATTTTTAATACAATTTTAATTAATTTCCTCGAATAAATTTAATTATTTTTAAAATTTATAATAAAATTGTACCAAACAATTAAAATAATTTGAAAAATTATAATATTTATAGAAAAAATTCAATTAATTTCTAAAATTTTAATAAATTTTTAGAAACAATTCAATTATTTTTATAAATATTAAACTTCTTTGCAACAATTAAATTGTTTTCATAAATAATAAAATATTTTACAGGAATTTAATTATTTTTAATATCATTTAAATAAAAGTTAATAATAAAATTTTTAATTATAATTACTATTAGACCCAATTATTTAAAAAAAAAATTTATTTTTAATTCCAAGTTTTTTCTCAATAATTTCAATTAAAATTATTAAAAAACCTACATTATTTTCATAAAACTTAAAGAAATTCTTCCAAAGAATGTAATTATTTATAAATACTGTAATTAATAATTTTAATAAAATTAAAAAATTATTATTTCAAATTCCAAATTTTAAATTATTAACAAAATCGGTTATTTTCAAAAATTTAAGAAATTTTTTGAAAGAATGCAATAATTTTTAAATAATAATATAATAATATGCAATAATTTTTTATTTATTTCTATGAATGAAGTAAATTATTTTCCAAAAATTTTCATAAAATTCAATAATAAATTGTTTAATTTCAATTATTATTTATTAACAAGCACGATTATTTTAAAAATTTGAAAGAAATTCTTAATAAGATTTAATAGAATTCTTTACGAGAATTTTATCAGAATTTTTAAATTCAATTCATTCGAGAAATTTTAATAAAATTGTATTGATAATAATTGAATATTCATGAAGATTTTTATTAATACTTTTGAAAATATTTAAATTGTTTTGAAGAATTTCTTTGAATTTTTTTTTTCAAATAATGGTGTTCTTTTAATAATAATTTTAATTGAAAATTTTGAAAGTAATTGAATTCTATAAAAAATTTTTTTCAAGTTCTTAAAATAATCTTGTCTATTATCAATAATTGTAGGAAAAAATATGATTATTGAATTTTATTAACATTTTCTGGAAATAATTGAATTCTTCCTAGAATTGTATTACAATTTTTTAAAATAATTGAATCTTTCAAGAAATTTTATGAAAATATTAAAATTAATTGAATTATTGCGAAGAAATTTTTTATTTTTGAAAATAATTGGATTTTTATAAAACTTTTAAGAATGAATTGAATTATTTAAAAATACTTTTTTTCCAATTTTTGAAAATACTTCAATTCTTTCGAGAAAATTTATGAAATTAATTGAATTCTGGCGAAGAATTTTATTAAAATTTTTCAAAATAATAAATATTAATAATTACTTAATTATTTAATTACTTAAGTGAATTTTTTAAATTTTGAATCTAAAATAATTGAAAAACATTGAAGTTGTGATTTTAGAATAAAAAATTTTGTAATTTGAAAAGTAATAAAGAAAATACTGTATTTTTTAAAAACATTTGTTAGTTATTAATATAGATTGAATGTTCAAACAGTAAAAATGTAATATTCAAATATTCAAAAATTGAAATATTTTTTGAAATGTATAAAAAATATCGAAATAAATTTAAATATCCAAAATATTGAATAAAAATGTTCGAATTACTTTGGAGGGGAAAAATTTTGTTTTGAAGAAAAAACGAGAGAGAGAGAGAGGAAACAGGGAACAATATATATATAAGTAATAAAAGAAAAAAATAAAGGGGCGAAAGGGGATGGAAAAAAAAATTGGCGTGAGAAATCGTGGGAGGCAGCTGTGATAAATTTTGCTTTGCAATTTGAGTATAAGGAGCGCCTAAAACAACCGACTGGAATTTTTTATCGACCACCAGAGTTTAGCTTTATAGAGAAGGATTCTTTTTGCTCGGTTTGGGTCGTCGCACCCGTTATGTTCGTTTAAAGATCACTTCGCAGAAACGCATTCGCGAACTGGAGTATATAGTACAAAATATATATAGAGAGAGAGAGATGAAGAGAGAAAGAGAAAAAGAAGAAGAGACAGAGAGAGAGAGAGAAAAAAAACGGGAAGTTAGAGCAGAAAAGAGATGAAGAATCCTCGAAACTATTTTCACCAATTCAAGCCACAAGAGCTTCCGGCTGAAAGCAATGGCGAACTTCAAATCGTCTTCTGTTTTTTTTCCTTTCTCTCTCTTTTCTAGATGCTTGTTCATTTTACGTCCGCTCCCACGAGTAATCTCGTTAACAACGTCTGATTTGTGTCTTATCTTTAACTGAGTCCCATTTTTGCGATTGCGAAAAATACGAACCTCATTTTCTGAAAAATCAACTGTTTTTTTCCTCCTCTTTCTCTCCCTGAGATGTGAATAAAGCAATTTTTCCGATTAGGTTTCTAATTTTTCCATTTCCTCGCACTGTGAGTGTGTGTGTGTGTGTGTTATGATTTCATTTATAATTGAAAGCTCTCGTCCCGAATTTTTCTTTATTTTCACACGAAATCCTTATTTCTTTGTGTGTAAAAAGTGTTCTGAAAAAGAAAGAAAAAAATATAAAAATTTGAAATTAGAAAATACGAGAAATTCTAAAAAATAATTAAATTAAGTGAAAGAAATATTATGTCTCTGAAAATAAAAAAATTCGAAATAAAAATTTTAATTAATTAAAATAGAATTCAAGGGTGAAAAAAGAAAATTAGTTTCTACGGTCGAAATTTGGTCGAGTGTTATTTATACTAAATTCATATCCGTAAAGTGGAGAAGAGAGAAAAAATGTTTTGAAAAAATGGACGAGAAAATTATAAAAAGAGTAGAAAGTAAATAAAGAAAATAAAAATACGAGAAAAGGAAGAAGAAGAAGAAAAAAAAATAAAATCGAGAGAATGCGGAATGATTACAAGATGGTGAAATGCACTTGCGATAAATTAAATCGAGATATAATTAAATTGTCGATACCCAGCATTAAATCAACTATGACCTATATTTCATTTCCGGAAAATCGAAACAACCGTTGATACGAATACAGAATTTCTATATAGGTAATATTCCACATTTCCCTCAATTTCAAATAAAAAAATTTTCTTTCTTTTTCCCCTTCGTTCGAATTCGAATATTTTTACAATTATTTTCAAGAATATTTTTGCAAATATTTTCCGAATTATTAATAATTTTCTAATATGTTTACAAGTATTTTCCAAATATTTCTATAATTATTTTGCAAATATTTTTCGAATATTTCTATAATTATTTTTCAAACATTTTTCGAATATTTTATATTTTCCGAATGTTTTTGAAAATGTTTAGTGAATATTTATACAAAGATTTTCAGAAATATTTTTCACATTATTCAAATCACTATATTGTTTCTCGTTTATATTTCCTGAATAATAATTTACGCAAAAAAAACTTGTAAAAAAGTCATAAAAATTGTTTTTCCAAGCCTCGTTTACAAACAAACAGAAATAATAATTGTGCATTTCAATTAGAAAGAATAATAATAATTGCTCATAAAGAAAAAGTGCTGAGATACAAAGAATATAAATATTCTATTTGTATTTATGAATTTTTGTTCGAAAAACTTTGTTCGCCTCGAGAGGATCACACGTCAAGTTTCATTGTCAAGTGACAGTGCACTATACAATATTTTATCATTGTAGAAGCTGTAGATTATTTTGTAAGACAAGACACGACCTTCTAACCAGCCTAGTCACGCAATTCTTTACCTATATATGGTAGAAAGGGAGGAAGAAGAGAGAGGGATATTGTATGTATTATGAATCTCATGGGATTCAATATTTATGGGTTCTAATTCCCAAGAACTAACAAAGTATGTAGTTTACTCGACTTTTCTGAATTTTTTTAAATTTCCTCACGAGACAGTAGGTATTATTATCACTATTTTTTCCCCCTTATTTTCCCCTTTATCTTTTTTTCTTTTTCGTTAAAGTTAATGGAAGTAATATTTTTTACACAACAATTCTAATTTTAGTAAATTTTTTCTAAAAAAAACTCCGAAAAACAATTTATGAAAAAATTGTTCCGAAAAAATTGTTACTTTTTCACAAAAGAAAATTTTTTCTCGCTCTCAGTATTCTTTTGTTAATTATTTGAATTATTGCAAAAAATAATTGTAAATTTAGAAAAATAATTATTTGGATTAACTATTATTTCTATTTACTGTTTTATTTACAGGGCTCGGATCGTCTTTAAGAGTCAAAAAAAGTCACGAAAAGTCGCATAAAATTTCCGAAAGAGTCTGAAAAAAGTCGCATGAAATTTTAGAAAAAACGCCAAAAAGAAAACACAAAATTGTAAAAAAAATCACATTTCTCGACAACACATACTTTAATATCAAACAATCCGGAATAATATTTAATAAAATTTAATAAAATTCATAGCAAAATTTTAATTAGGTATTTTTAACATTTTTTTAAAAATTCTCTTTAAAATGTCAATTATTTTTATAAACAATAAAATTCTTATCCGAAATTCAATTAATTAAAAAAAATTTTAATAAAATTCTTGTCAAAATTTCAATTATCGTTATAAATAATAAAATTCTTCTCTGAAATTCATTTATTTTCAAAAGTAATAAAATTTTTCGCAGAAATTCAATTATTCAAAATTTTTTTTTAATTTCTCGTCAAAATTTTAAAAATAATAAATTTTATCATGAAAATTTATTTATTTTCAAAAGTTCTGATAAAATTCTTTGCAAAATTCAATTATCTTTAAAATTAAGAAAATTCTTCTCAGAAATTCAATTATTTTCAAATTTTTTTTTAAATTCTCCTCAAAATTTCAATTATTTTTAAATAAATATCAAAACTCTTCTGCAAAATTCAATTACTTATTAATGTTTTATAAATTTCTTCCCAATAATTCAATTATTTTCATAAAAAATAATTAAAAATCTTTAATTATTATAAAACATGAAGACATCAATTGCTCCGAGTCGAAGATTCGGAGTGATCGATTTCTTCATGTTTTATAGCAATTTTTTATAAGTTGTTTAATTTCAAAAAGGTTTGAATTTGAATTTAAAAAATTAAAAAATTTAAATTTAAAAAATTTTTTAAATTTCAGTCGCATTTTACTAAAAAAAAAATCTCGAAAAAGTCGATTAGTCGCATTTTTTCACAAAAAAAGTCGAAAAAAGTCACAAGTCACATTTTCTTAGAAAAGTATTTATTTCATTTTGTTTTTTCTATTATTGAATTATTATTTTCTAAAATTTAAAAATTACTATTGTACGAAAGATAATTTTTTCTTATGCTGTCTGTATTTTAATTATTGCAAAAAATAATTTTTGAAATAAGAAAATTTATTTATTTTGATAAATTATTATTTTTATTTACTTTTTTACTTTTTTACTTTTTTTTATTTGACTTTGTTTTTTAATAACAGTTTTTTTTAGTCAATTGGAAAAATTAATTCCTTGTGTAAGAAAACTTATTTATTTTTAAATAATCTATTAATTCCAATTATTTTAATTACTGGAGAAAATAATTATGAATTTAAAAAAAGCAAAAAGTGTTCTCTAAAATTCAAAATTAATATTCCACAAAAGGTCATTTTTACCTTGCCGAACTCATTATTAAATAATTATTTTAATTATCGCAAATAATAGTTATTGGAAAAAAATTTACATTAATTTAAATAAATTGTCCTTTAAAAAAAAAAAAAAAACTCGGTGTAAATTGATTTTATATAAACGAACAGAGGAGAATAGAGAATTTAGAAAATTGAGTTTATTTCAAATATGAGATTGCAATTTTTTTTCTACTTTTTTTTGTAATTTCAATATATAAATACTATTGACAAAGCTGTCTCACAATAAATTATTCCTCTAGTTATAATTTTCAGAGCATTATATGCCCCCTCTCTATATACATAGTATTTTAGCACCGATCGAATGATATAGATAAAGTATGACACAGTTACGATTTCTCCTAGCATATCGTGTTTTACCGCAGGCAAAACGATTTGTTTCAATCAAAGAAACCATTTATTCCAATGTTTCATTAATATTAGCAAAAAGTGCAAAAAATTTCTCCATTTCTTTTTCAAATTCTCCGATTTTTCTACAAACGAATTAATTTACCAACTAATTAGAAAATTTAATAGTAAAAACAAAAATAATTCTTTCTTTTTTAAAACAAATTTCTTTTTTAGCCAATTCCATATATGTAATTAAAATTCTCACAAATTTAGAAAAAACTCAATAATAAGAACAAAAATAATTCTTTTTTTGAAATAAATCATTTTTTTTAGCAAACTCGATAATTAAAATTCCCTAAATTATAAACAATGGGAAAAAATTCAGATTTTAGCAAATCTCGATAATTAAAATACTTAAAATATTTTTAGACAGCGAGAAAAAAATAATTCAATTTTTATCAAACTCGACAATTAAAATTCTCTCAATTATAAACAATGGGAAAAAAATTCAGATTTTTGCAAATTTCGATAATTTAAATACTCAAAATATTTTTAGACAGCGAGAAAAAAATAATTCAATATTTCTTCAAAGTCGATAATTGAAATACTCAGAGTATTTGTTAAAGAGAGAAAATTTTCAGTTTTGTCACAAATTTCGGAAAAAGGGGATAAAATACTACCAACGAAATCTATAGTAAAAAAGTAGGAGTAGGAAAAGTTTCCTTTTGCAAGTATTTTGAAAAAAAGAAAATAATACCAACACCAACATCTGTAACATAAAGCGAGAAAAATTTTTTAGTTTGCACGTATTTCGAAAAAAGGAAAGAAATACTAATTCCAGAATCTATAACGAAAACGAAATATTTTAGTTTGCAGGTATTTTGAAATAAGAAATCTTAATTTCAAAATTTACCCAAAAAAAAATTTCAGTTTGCACGTATTTCGAAAAAAAGGAAAGAAAAACCAACTAGAGAAGCAATTTTCCTTTTCTCCTTGAAAAATTGAGCGCAAGATATATTTCCTCTTTTTTCTAATGTTTATGAGCTTTCTTAAATGCAGAAGCACGCGCATTGACTTGAAAGTCAGTTGCACTTGCATTATATATCGCGTGATCTTTCAAATGGTTCTTTGGGCTATAAACGTCAGAGCCATACAGGATAATCTCCTCTCTTCCAGTTGACACGTCTAAAGCTAAAAGCCCCGCATGTCCCTTACATAGAAATCTCTTGTGTCAAATAATGCGCGCTTCATTCTTTGCCTCTCGTGCAAGTAAATTATATTATCTAGTTCTAAAGTTTAAATCACGCTTCAATGCAATAAAAAAAGAAAGGAGAGAGAAAAAAATGTCTATTCAACTTTGTGGCATGACCAAAAGTTACAAAGGTACTTTTAATGAACTCGAAATATTTACACCCACTCTTATATTCAAAAAGAGAATCCTCCATTTTTTTTTTTTTTTTTTTTTTTGCTCAAAGAGAGTCTCAACGGGAAGTAATTTTTCATTCAAATGGATATTTTAAATTTAGTTTCGTATTATTTCCATTTTTAGCTTTGGTAATTTTTTTTCTGACATTGTATTTTGTATTTCTTGAAAATTATGTTAATTATATTTATATATAAAATTTAATAATTAATTAATTTCATAATTATAATTATCAGTTATTTCGACTATTTTTTCGAGTTTTCAATTTGTGTCTTTGAAAATTATATTATTATTACGTGATATTTGCAATAAAATAACATAATAGTACGAGAGAAAAAATAATCTTTACTTCAAGTTCGTTAGAAAAACTGCCCTTTAAACTCGAATACGGACCCGGGGACTGTTATCAGCGATAAAAAAAAGTTATTCAAAATACACATTAAAAGAAAACGGAACACTCTGGAATAATAGATTCTGTTAGCAGTCAGAATGGCCTCCTACAATTGTTTGTAGTTTGTACCGAGCTTGCATTAGTTTTCTCTCAGGGAGAATTGAGAGAAAGAGAGAGAAGCGGGGAGAAAAAGGGAAATAAATAAAGAGAGAGACGAACAGATGTTCGTAAACGTGGACGGATAGATTCAGATAAAAGGATAGATAAATAGATTCAGAGAGAGTGAGAGAGAAAGAGAGAGAGAAAAGGCTGGCCCTTCGCCCGGAAATTCGAACGAATCGAGAACACAATAGAGTTTAAACAGGAAACAACGGGATACGATCTTGGAAGTGAATTCCAAGGATAATAAGAATATTCTACGGTCCAGTTGGAGAGAGAGATTGCATTTCGCTTTTCACAGCCACTCGATATATTCATTAGCTAAAATTAACTAGTGGTGATGATGATAAGAATAATAATTATTAATAGAAATAATAATTATAAACAAAAATAAAGATTATTAATAGAAACAATAATTATTAACGAAAATAATGATTATTAGTAGAAACAATAATTATTAACAAAAATAATAATTATAAATAGAAACAATAATTATTAACGAAAATAATGATTATTAGTAGAAACAATAATTATTAACAAAAATAATAATTATTAATAGAAACAATAATTATTAACAAAAATAATTATTATTAATAGAAGCAATAATTATTAACAAAAATAATTATTATTAACAGAAACAATTATTATCAATAATAAAAATAAGTATGAAAACAATAATTAATAATAATCTATATTAATAATAACAAAAATTAAATAAACAATTAGTTTGTAATTTTTAAATAAACAAAATTGTTATGAATTAAAAATCATAATTTAATTTGTAAAATTAATTTAATATTCTAAAATATAAAAATAGTTACGTTTAAATTATGGTAGAAAAACTAATTTTTGCGATATTATTTCTGTAAGCAAAAATATTCAAAATACTCGATTTTCAAAATTCTGCGTAAGAAAAGGAAATTGTTTTGAAAAATTGTATGAAAATTTTTTTAAATAATTGAATTCTTATTAAAGAACTTTATACAAATTTTTGAAACTAACTGAATTTCTCTGAAAATATTTATTATTAACAAAAATAATTCAAATCCAGAGAAGAATTATATTATTTATGCAAATAATTTAATTCTTGCAAATTTTTTTGATAAATTTAATTAAAATTCTATTAAAAAAAATCCAATATTCTTCTATAGAATTTTATTCAAATATTTAAAAATAATTGGATTGTTTTGAAGAATTTTATTAGACTTAATTATAAAATAATAAATAAATAATAATTTAATTAATAAGTTAATAGGATGTAAATGAATTTTTTAATTTTGAATCAGAAATTATTTAAAAATTGAAATGGATATTTAAAAATAAAAAATTTTGTAATTTTATTAAAAATTTTGAAAATAATTGAATTTTTTGGAAGAATTTGATTAAAATATTAAAAAAGAATTCAATTCCTTCGAGAAATTTAATTAAGATTGCACTGAAAATAATTAAATTGTTATAAAGAATTTTAACAAAATTTTTGAGACAATTAAATTCTTTCGAAGAATTTCATTGAAATTTTAAAAAAATAATTGAATTTCTACCAAAAATTTTATTATTTATGAAAATAATTGAATAATTGGATATTTAAAAATAAAAAATTTTGTAACTTTATTAAAATTTTTGAAAATAATTGAAATTTTTGGAAGAATTTGATTAAAATATTTAAAAAGAATTTAATTCCTTCGAGAAATTTAATTAAGATTGCACTGAAAATAATTAAATTGTTATAAAGACTTTTAACAAAATTTTTGAAAATAATTAAATTCTTTCGAAGAATTTAATTGAAATTTAAAAAGAATATTTGAATTTCTACCAAAAATTTTTATTATTTATGAAATTAATTGAATTGTTTCAAAGATTTTGACTAAAAATTTTTGAATCCAATTGAATTCCAAAAATGAATTTTATTAAAATTTTTTACGAAAGTTATTGAATTTTTTCGATAAATTTTCTGATAATTTTTCAAATTATTTGAAAAAATTTTATTGAAAGTTTAAAAATAATTATTTTTATTCGAGGAATTTAATTAAAATTATATTGAAAATAATTGAATTATACTTGAATTTCTGTGAGGAATTTCAAGAATAATTGCATTTAAAATAATTGAATTCCTATGAAGAATTTTATTATTTATAAAAATAATTGATTTATTGCAAAAAATGTGATGCAGATTTTCGAAAATAATAAATTCGAATTAATTACCTAGTTAAAAAGTGAATTTTTTCAATTTTGAATTCGATTTGAATTTCGAATTATATTTTATTATAATATATTATAAAATATATTATTTTTTACTTTTATGTTTATAAAAACAATTACCATTTTTATCATCATCATCAATTTATCAAAGTAAACTTATCATTTTTTCACTTTTCAAGAATAATTATTTAGATTTCGAAAAAAACGTTACTTTCAAAAATCACAGATTGAATAATCTGTGGATTTAATAATCAAATTATTAAAAAAAAAACATTTCTCCTCTCCTGATAATTTAATAAATCATCACTGTCAAAATTATCGAAATATGTCCTCTATCAAACATTTCTAAATTCGAAAGGAAAAAAAAGAATAAAAAAAAACCCGTTTTTAGAAAGTTATTTTTAAACATCAGAAGAAATTTTCTTTCCCTTCTATTTTTTTCTCCTTTTTTTCTATCTATTTTTATATGGAGAGAAAAAAAGTGCGAGAAAACGGCCAGATGGAAAATAACAAAGATCAAGAGACAAGAAGAAAATAACCGGAAAGGATTTACCCTTTAAAACATATTTCATCTTCTTTCGAGGATGTTCGGCTTTTCTATTCACACGTCTCTCTCTTTTTTCCCTCTCTAACGTTGTGGAAAATTTCTTTTGTTTCCGATTTTGATCTCTTCTGATGACCTCATAAACTGTGGTGCAGGGACACCAAAAGTTAAGGCGTGGCATAAAGGAACTCCAGGGAGTTAACCGCGAGCCCAGGAATCGATCGGCGGAAGTAGTTGCTCTCCATCTCTCTCTTCCTCTTTAAGAGTGGGATTTTCAAACATCATCTTCGAGAAGGCCAAATGAAAAAATAACACATACATAAAACTTAATAACAAACGAGTTTCAAAGTTTAGTTTATGGAAGTTTTCTTTTTTAGCATAAAAAAATTTAGTTCATTGAATAAATTAATTTTGGTATTATTCATAATTTAATAAATGAATTTTAATATTATTAATTATTAATTATTAATAATTCAATAAATTAATTAATAATTTAGTAATCAGTATGAGAAAATCATGAATACAACAGAAAATGTAATAAAGAAAAAATAATCAGGTTTCCAAAAATTATTTCTTTTTGATCAAAAAAAAATAATTTACAGAGAAAATATTTTATATTCAGATTCACAAATGTTTCGAACGTTCAAATAAATGAAATAATTTTTATTAAAAACGTTTTCATAAAATACTTTCAATTGCAATAAAAATTAAAAACAAATTTAAAATTTAGAAACTATAGGTAATAATTATTTTGTTTACAGTGATGCAAAATTGTAATAGAAATTTTTGAAGAAAAATTAAATTTCGTTCATTGGAACGTTCGGAACTTTAGAGAATAGTTCAAATGAACGAAATATTTTTTATTAAAAATATTTTCCTAAATTACCAATTGCAGTAAAAATTAAAAATAAATTTTAAATTTAGAAACTAAAGAAAAAATTCTCTTATTGCATCGTTTGAAACTTTTTCATCCTTTTTGAAAGAAAATACAATAATTATAATTTTAAAAAAGATTCAGAAAAAAAAGAAAAAGAATCAGAAAAGATAAACCAAAGCAAAGATCAAAGATCATTTTTAAGATTATATCATTTCATAAAAGATGAAGTTTGAAAATAATTCTTTTTATGCATCTCAGAAGAGAATGAGTGCAATTTTCTTTGGCTCATACATAAAAGTATAAAGATTGAAGAATACGATATATCGGATAAAAAAAATTGACGAAGTGAAAGCCAACTTACGAAGAAAGGGTCAAAAAATACATATATAAGAAAAAGATCTTGTGATCACTGAACAATTCCACAAGATTTTCATCTATGGATTCAATAATAATGTTCAATGTTTGCATTTTTTTTTCTTTCTAGAAAATAATCTTCAAATCCAAATACCTTTCGTATATCATAAGAGCACAGTTCGATAACTCTACACTGGCAAGTATTCCAATCTTTCATATTATCCTGTCTATATATTTCCTGTTATCGGTGCCCCCGCGAGAACATGCAATATTCTCTCACGGAGTGGTTCTTCGTTTCTTGGCAAGCAAAAATTTTACATCAAGGAATTACTGGTGCTTGAATAATTCTCCGTGTAATATTATGATGTTACTGCACGACTCGAATATGATTCGTTTGCTCTCCCTCACTCTCTCTCTCTCTCTCTCTTTCTCTATATTTTCTATATTTCTCTCTCCTACTCTTTTTTTCTTCCTGCAAAAAAAGTAAATGAATATAAAAACCATTCATCTTTCACAATATTTACTTATAAATAGTCAAACGATATTTTAATTCATACAAATTCTTTACTTTATTTGGAAAAAAAAGTTGGTAATGGAAAAAACTAATTTAAAATTAATTTCGAACGTAATATTTACTTATAAAGAGGGAACAGATTTTTTTTTTTTTTATTCATTACAAACTTTTTTACTTTAGTTCAAACTTAAAAACAAACTTGCTAACTGATAAAATTCATTTAGAATAAAAGGAAATTTACCAAAAACTATTCTTTTATTTCAGGGAAATTTAGTAATTCAAAAAAAAATTAATTGAAAGAAAACTGAAAATTTGCTAACCGAGAAAATTAATTTAGAAAAAAAGGTCTTTTTCCAGAAACTTTTTCTTCATTTCTTGAAAATTTATACTAATTGAAAAAATTAATTTAAAGAAAATTGAAAAAATTGTAGAATTGCTAACCGAGAAAATTAATTTAGAAAAAAAGGAAATTTTCCAGAAACTTTTTCTTTACTTCTTGAAAATCTATACTAACTAAAAAAATTAATTTAAAGAAAATTGAAGAATTGCTAACCGAGAAAATTAATTTCCAAAAAAAGGAAATGTTCCAAAAACTTTTTCTTTATTTCTGCGGAAAATTTACTAATGGAAAAAATTAATAGAAAGAAAATTGAAAAAATTGAAGAATTACTAACCGAAAAAATTAATTTACAAAAAAAGGAAATTTTCCAACAATTATTTTTCTCATTCGAACAAATTTACTAATTGGGAAAATTAATCTAAAGAAAACTGAAGAAACTGAAGAATCACTAACGGAGAAAATTAATTTACAAGAAAAGAAGATTTTCCAAAAATAATTTCTTTATTTCTAAACAATTTACTAATTGGAAAAGTTAATTTTACGAAAATTGAAGAAAGTGCGAAAAAAACTGAGACCAGAAAAAGTAATTAATTGCGAACAGTAATTAATTGTTGAAAGAAAATTAATTACAATGTACTTTTCCTCAAGGGGAAAAAAATGAACATTTACACCTGAATAAAAACTTTTTCCATTTACAATTCAAATCGTATAAATAAAAATTCATTCCAAAGCAGATCATTTCTAAAAAAAAAAATACGAAATTTAAATTGCAAACTTTTTGTATAAATTTTCCAGAGATTTTATTCAACTAAAAAAAAAATAATTTATTAGTAATTACATAAAAAAAAAATCAATGATTCAGAGAAAACTGAAGGAAATCAAGATTTATTTACGAATTTAATTTCAAGTTATGACTTCTGTATCTTTTATATTTCATTTTTTTGATATAAAAGAAAAAGAGAAGGAGCGAGATTTTCTTCTCTAGAGAATCGAAATGTCTCTCTTGCTTGCTATACACAAGGATAACGACCCGGCAGATGGCCGTTCCTTTAAAAGCACTGAAGTACAAGTAAGGATCCCCACGACATATAGATATAGATATATGAAAGCGCGACACGAAACCATTCGCATAAATAAATGTGGCCAACAGATGTGCCAGATTTTTCCCTTGTCTCTTCCAACTTTTATCCTTCTTTTCGTCGGAAACATCGTGAAGAAGGCAATCCATCAGTTTCGAAAAATAAAAGAAACCGAGGAAAAAAAAACAAGAAAACACAAAAATGAATAAAATTCTCTCACTTCTTTAGCATTCACGTACTATTGTTTTCTTTAGTTGCGTTTTTCCTCCCCCTTTTTTTTATTGGAGGAAAAAATTTATTTTTATCCGTGTTATTATTATACCAAGTGTTATTAATTTTTTTTCCAAATTTTTAAATTCAATTTTAAAAAAATTGTTTTTATTTTTTAAAAATAATTTAAACAATCAAGTTTATTTTGTCAATAATTAAAATTTCTTTTGCATTAATTTAATCAATTAAAAATTTTTTTTACTGATTAGAAATCACTTAAAAAATAAATTTTGTTTTGTTATCAATTAATGTTAAAAAAAAATAAATAAACAAACAATTATTTTTGTGTATAATTTCATTCAATAAAAAAGTTTTTATTGATTAAAAATAATTTAAAAACTAAATTTTGTTTTGTTATTATCTAATGTTAATAATAGATAATAATAAAAAATAATAAACAAACAATTATTTTTATGTATAAATTCATTCAATAAAAAAATTTTTATTGATTAGAAATTATTTAAATAATAAATTTTGATTTGTTCATAGTTAAGGCTAATAAAAAATAATAATACTGATAATAGTAAAAAAAGGAGAGAAAAAGCAATAGTAATAAATTTAATAATAATACCTAATAATAATAATAGCACAAAATTATAATAATAATAATAAAAATATAAATAATTACAACAAAAAAAGCAATAAAATAATAAGAAAATAAAAATTAGGCTTTTAAATAGTACAAAAAATTATTAATTTATTTTTGCTATTAAAAAAATTAAATTGATTTTGGTCTTTGCAAAATTTAATTAAAATTATAAAAAATTTTCATCAAATAATTACAGTGATTTCCTTTCTGGTGAAGGATGTAATTTTAAAATGTCTTTTAATTATAAAAAAAAATGAAAAAAAAACAGTTACATAATTATCAAACGAGTTTTATAAATTTAAAAATGTTTAAACTACAGTTCTGCATAATTGCAAATAATGTTCACGAGATATTAGCAATTATTGAATCGATTTATCTACCGCAATGAAGAAAAAAAATGATAAAAACATCATCAAACATTATATTGAATTTGCGATAAAATTTAATTTTAAAATCAGATTCTTTTTTCATTAGAGAACAATTTCCATTGAACTATGTTAATTAGTAAAATTTTGATAATTAATAAAATTAAATTAATGGTAGGTATTTTAATAATCAAGGAAATAAAATTTTAATAATTAATAATATTAAATTATCTAAAATTTTAGTAATCTGAATTTTAGTGATCAAATTTCTGATAATAAAAGAAATTAAATTAGTAACATTTTTTAGAATAAATAAAATTAAATAAGTTAAATTTTCATAATCAATAAAATTCAATTATCTAAAATTTTAGTAATCTAGGAATTTTTGTAATAAAATTTCTGATAATAAATTAAATTAAATAAGTAAAATTTTCATAATCAATCAAATTCAATTATCTAAAATTTTAGTAATCCAGGAATTTTATAAATAAAATTTTTGATAATGAATGAAATTAAATTGGTAAAATTTTGGTAATCAATAAAATAAAATCATCTAAAATTTCAGTAATCATATGAAATTTAATGATTAAATTTCAGATAATCAATAAAGAAATTAAATTATTGTAAAATTTCAATAATTACGGAAATTTATTTATAAAAGTTTTGATTGTTAATGCAATGAAATTAAATTAGTAAAATTTTTTTAATCAATTATATTAAATTAACTAAAATTTTAATAATAAAAAAAATTTATTCATAAAATTTTTGGTTATTAATTAATAAAATAAAATTAGTTAATTATATATTATATTATATTAATAATGATAATAATAATATCTATTACGATTAGAAAAAATAAATAAATAATAAAAGTAAGAAAATGTAAGAATAAAAATATAGTTAATTAATTTAATTCTAAATTAAAAATTATTTGAAACCGTAGTTAATTATTTTTTCCAACGACACACTTTTTACCGCGCGCTTTTTCTTTTATTCAAGCAAAATTATAGTGTGTGGAAGGCGTATATGTATATGGCGAGAATAAAAACAGTATATAGAGCTTTTTTAATAGGGCTTAGAACTTAATCGAAGATTAATGAAAGCTTCTATAAATGCTATTTTCATTTAAAAGCCTAGAGCCATGTTTCCACAAGGAACGTGGAAAATGTTCACCGAGGAAGCCACGATCACAAAGGGCACGTGAAATATTTTCTAAAGCCCGAGGCAACTATGGCATAGTTTTGCTTTAACTCACAGGTCAAAAGTCTTCGTTTCTTTTTCAATTTTTTTCTCCTCTTTTTTTGCAATCCGCACACATTCCCTATATTTCCATTAAATTAATTATCATCTCCTCCTTCATTTGTCTATTTATCAAAAACTATGTTTTTTGAAATCAATAACTTGAATAAAACTGACTCCTATCACTTGATATCTGAAAAGTTCTTTTTTAATGATTAGAATTAGTAATTAATTAACAATTAAATTTAAAATCATGATTCTTTAAATTTTCCGTTTTGTACTATTTTTGCAAAAAGAAAAAATAATTCAAGCTAGAAAAATTCGTCGAATATTCAAAATTTATATTGTCAATTATTGTATATTTAATTCAATTATTATATGTAATTGTGAACAAAATTCTTTTCGGAAAATTTTAATTATTGTTTTGTCTGGTACGTTAAAAATCACTTTCTTAGTTCTGAAAATATGTTAATAGGAATGAGCGAGATATTTGAATAATAAAAAAGGAATTTGATAAGAAATTGATATTTACTGACCGGAAAGAAAATAAAAATCAATTTTTGAAGGCATTAGGAAATCAGAAATGTTCTACATTTTAATAAAAGACTATAATCCTAGTAGCTCTCTAAACCAGAAAACAAATCTGGATCACAAACGAAATGATGATATTGAAGAAATTAATTGAAATCATTGAAATAATTTCCCCCTTTTGGAATTAATAACAAGAAATGACATCTCTTCTTTATCATAAAATATGTTTTGGAATATTTGTAAATTGAATAATATACGAAAGTATAATATTATTTACGTAATGGAAAAACAGCTTGTTAATTCAAACTGGCATTAAATAAATCCTGCAGTCATTATAATATTACGCCTCAATTGACAAATGCGGAGACAACTTCCAGAAATAATTAGATGAAGAAAAATTCTGACATCCGAAAATCGTAAATTACTGGAGAACCACCAGAAAAAAATAGTGGATAGAAATAAATGTAAGTTCCCTTCTAAACTTCCTGCTTCAGGACGGATCTGAACTCTAAACAATAAAATAAATGTGTAATAATATAATATTAGAAATTAAATTGAAAATTCTACTATCGAAAACAATAAAAAAAAATGAAACCATACCAAAGTAGAAGATGAATTTCGATAAATGATGACACTTTTGACCCTTCGTACATATAAATTCAACTCAAGTAGAAAATTGCTCTCCCTCTCTCTCTCTCTCTCCTTGAGTACTTAAGTGATTGTCGTAAGTAATATGTTATTATCATTGAATTATAATAGTTCCTTTACGGTGTGTAATGAGACTCGGAAAAGAAAGTAAGATATGGTAACTATATTTATCGTTTTTTACGCCACATTTTTCCTGCACTATTCTCTCTCCCTCTCTCTGTAAAAAGAAAAGAAAATAAAAAATCTTGTCTGTTTTTGAAATAAAAAAATCTTGTCCTTTTAAAATAAAAAATTATTTTCCTTTACAAACATGAAATATATATAATTAACTCGATCAAATACCGTTATTCTCTATTGGTCCTTTATATACAGAGGCGGAAGGTAATTCTATTGACACACGATTATTATCTGCGAATAGTGGAACTTCTCTCATAAAGTAAAATATCCTATCAATTTTCAATTAGGTTTAATTGGGTCGTTGCTTCGCAGTCGAGGGAGTCTAAAATTTTCACGCCTAAGTGAGATATTTTATTTAAGTCGACCTATATTTCCCGTAGCGAAACTCATGAAAAATTTAACTAACTCTCTGATATCACTAACAGTTTTTAAATAACTTTTTAAATTTAAATCTTTATCATTATCAGTATTATTCTTATTTTCTAGCTATTATTAAATTAAAATCATTATTATCTCATTAGAATTATCATTAATATTATTATCATTAGTATTGTTAACATAAAAATAAAAATATAATAAATAAAATCAAAAGGTGTGTTTTTAAATTATTTTTAAAGGTTTTAATAAAATTCCTCACAGAAATTCAATTAATTTTCAAAAAATTTTCATAAGATTTCTTGAAACAATTCAATTATCTTCCTACATAATAAAGTTCTTTAAAAAAAATTCAATTATTTTTATGACAATTTTAATTAAATTCCTCAAATAAAATTAATTATTATTTTCAAAAATTTTAATAAAACTCTTAAAAAAAATAATTTGAAAAATTATAATAAGATTTATGACAAGAATTCAATTATTATCGTAATAAGTAAAATTCTTCTCAGGAATTCAATTATTTTCAAAAGTTTTACTAAAAATGTTTAAAACAATTCAATTTTCATAAATAATAAAATTCTTCAAAATAATTCAAATATTTTCAATATAAAATTTTAATTAAATTCTTCAAATTTTAATTATTTTCAAAAAGTGCAATGAAATTCTTCAAAAAAATTTAATTAATCCCAAAAATTATGATTGATAAAATTTCCTTATAACAATTTAATTATTTTTAATACAATTTTAATGAAATTCCTCCAAATAATTGAATTATTTTTAAAAATTTTAATAAAATTATTCTAAAAATATTCAATTAGTTTCAAAAATTTTAATAAAATTACAAAATTTTTTATTTTTAAATATCAATTTCAATTTTGAATAATTACAGATTCAAAATTAAAAAATCTCATTGATTATATCTAATTAACTTATTAATTATTATTTATTTTCAAAAACTGTAATAAAATTCATCAAATTAATTAATTATTTAAAAAAATTGTAATAAAATTTTTCGTAGAAATTCAATTACTTTCAAATATGTATTTTAGTATATTCTATATAATAATTATAGAATTATAAATATAATTATTGAATTTTAATTAATTTGTTCGAAAAAATATGCAAGAATTAAATTATTCTTAATACAAACAAAATTTTCTCCAAAGAATTCATTTAATTTATATATAATTTAATAATATGACTTGCAAAAATTCAATTATTTTTAAAAATAATGAAATTCTCCTCATGGATTCAATTATTTTAAAAAGAATTTATCGTTTTAAAAAAATTTTAATAAAATTCCTCAGAGAATTTCAATTATTTTCAACAATTTTAATAAAATTCTTAGCGGAAATTATAAATTAATTAAATTAATTTTTATTAAATTGTATCGCAGAAATTTAATTATTTTCATAAATAATAAATTTCTTCTAGGTAATTCAATTATTTTCATAAATAATAAAATTCTTCAAAGAAATTCAATTATTTTCAAAAATTTTCTTAAAATTCTATGCCAATTAAATTCTTTCAGATTCGAAGTTGTAAAAAGTTACAAAACTTACAAAAAGTATATTATAAAAATTAGTATAAAAAGTTATTATACATTGTTCTGCAGTTATTATTAAATTAATATTATTATCATTATTATTATAGTATTTTTTATCAAATATGCAATTACGAAAATTAAATGATCACCTTTATTATTATTATTATCATCGATATTATTATCATTGACATTATTATAATTACTATTATTAACGATAAAAATATTTTCCTCTTCTTTTCAAATGTATTTGTCGTTTTAAATTTAATGAGAAAAAAAATGCGTAATGAGAAAATTTGTTTTCTTGATGGAAAGTTCAATTAATTGAATGCAAGTGAACAATAATAATTATCGAACACTCGCTGTATAAATATTATCATGCTTAATTGTTCCGTTTCGTTAAGCGAATAATCATGTTATTAATGACAAATTTATTGCTCTTTTGCATTTTAATATATTCTCATATGCATTTCTTTTTCCCCCTTTCATATTTTCAATGTAAAATAAAAATTCTTTTAGCTTAAGTCACCGTTATACTTAATTATCCACAAGTTATAAAGTTAAGTATTTTTCAAAAAAAAATTATACCCATTAAAGATCACTCTAATAATAATTAAATCAAATAACTGAACATTTATTCTTATTGACTTGTCGTTTTTTAAAAAAACTTCCAACTCTTAATTAAAAACGATTCACTTTGCTTTAGTTTACAGATCAGTTTCCTCTGCTTTTTTTTCTTTTTGATATTATATAGACGTACATTTCAATAAAAATTTAATTTCAGATTGGAATTTGGATAGGAATGAGATTTTTCCGTATTGATAGAGATTGTTAAATTGCGACGATTGCGACTATTCGAAATTGAAATTATTCTATTGAAATATAAGGGGAAATGCAGAAATCTTGAGGCAAATGATACAATAGTACTTGTTAGTTTGACGAATGAAATGTGTTAAAGCGCCTTTAACTTCACGCGTGCATTTGTCGGCCCCCAGTTTTATCAAAGCAATTTCCGGCAATGTGATTTTGCGATAGTGCAATGAATGAGTCAATGTCTAGAAGCTAATATAGTCGCATCACGACATTTATACGATTCCCTGGACGCAATTTAAGTTTATTGCTGATTAAACTGAAACAGTGAATGTTGAACGTGCTTTTAAACAAATGTTGACACTTCTAAAAAAACAGTCATAATTAAACCATTATCACAATTATCAAGAAAAATTGTTTCACAAACTGGTCACACTTTATTCTTCACTTTCCTACACGACATTTAAACGATTTAAACAATCTGGAATTTACTTTCTGCATATGACAACAAACGATTTTTTATTGTTACGCGACTAAAGAATTAAACATAACCTAAAAATTTATTTAAAAATTCGATATTCATACAACAAATATGTAACAAAGAAAATAACCAAAGAATTACTTTATATGAATCATTTTATCCCCCTGTCACATTTTCTCATCGTCAGAAAAGATTAACAAAAGAAATTTTCTTTGTCAAGTGACAATATTATGACAAAAATAATCTAAAACTTGGTGTGATAATGAACAAATATTGAGTCCTAAACCAATAGAAATGAACCATGATAGGAAATGTAGATAATAAAAATTTCTTACGCAGATAATTTGAAGTTCCGTCGAGAAAAAACGCGCACTGTCAAATTTTACGAGGTAAAAATCTTCTTTCATTTCACAAAAGAAAAAAAAACTAGATTAAACAGAATGCATCACCCGCATAATTGCGTGCGAGCAGATCGAAAGCGTCCTCTTAAATTTCTCGGGAGGCCATACAAAACCAAAGGTGGTCGAAGGAAAATAAAATTTCAACCCCGCGTTACGAGCTATACGCACGCATTCTCACACGCACAGAAAACAGAGCAAAATGAGCCCTACATCTACAATATATTGTGACACGGTGTGTGTCCTGTGTATCGATCCTGAGAGTGAAGCGCCCCCGCGATTTACTCTCGAGGGAGAGGCACCCGGTTATTGTTTTCCTTCAAGCCGGGTATTAGCAAATAATAATTTCATCCACTAACCTTAGAATTCACCAATTTTAGAAATAATAACCCCCTTTTTTAGAGGAGAGAAAATCCACCCAAGAGAGAGAATTCACTTTAGATGTGAGAAAAAGTAACAGTTTCGACAAGGATCAGGCGCCTGTCAAACACCACCACCACTCTCACCTCTTTTTCATTACATCAAAAATCCAACAATTATCCCAATCGTAAATGATCTCAATGCACTATTTATTTGAAATTCAATTATCAATATTAGGCCTCGAGGCAATTATTGATTTGCTTACCTTAATTTTTCAGTGAGAAATCCAAACAATTGTACAAAATAACACACTAAAAACACACTTCACGCGACTGCGATCCGAGCTCGACTGATGTGAAATAATAAGTGGGGAGGAAATTCTGGTCTCGACCAATCGGAATTGATGAACAGGGCGCCATGTTTTATGTTTTTCAGGAAGAGAGGATCTTGCATTTTGCACATGATGCGCGTGTGCAATTTACTGATGGTGGCAATGAAAAAGTGCATACGAAACTCTTTTTTCAAGTTCCATCGAATTCAAATTATGGGAAAATGCTGAAAAAGTGAAATAAAATCACGTCGTTCGCGAATGTTATTTGAACATGTCGGTAAAACAGGAAGTGCCCTTTTTTAACGATCGGTTTTACAAATTTAAATATTTCCCGCCAATATAAATTGAGGCCTTGGATCCAATAACTCGCCCGACGCTCGAAGACACGCGCTAATACCAGTCGGGTAGCAGTGAGTGGCCCAGAGGCGCTCACTGCTCACTGACTGGCAGTTGCGCGTTCCTCCGAGCGTCGGGCGAGTTATTGGATCCAAGGCCTCAATTGATTTTTGAATTTTTAATATAGGAATTCCTAATTATAATTATTAATTATTAATTAAATAATAAATATATAAATATTAAATAATAATATATTAATTATATAATTATAATAAAGTATTAATTAACAATTATTAAAATAGTAATAAAGCTATTAACTTTATAATTAATAATAAAATAAATTGTTTTAATTTTATTTATTTATTAAATTTTTAATTTTAATTAGTAAAAAAAATTGTAATAAAAAAATAAGTAATAAAATAAACATTAATTAACAATAAAATTAATTGTTTTAATTGTATTTATTTACTCAATTTTTAATTGTAATTAGTGAAAAAAATTCTAATTAAATAATTAATTCAAATTTTCAATTTTGTTTATTTAATTAAAATTTTAATCAAAAAATATCAAAGAATAATAAATAAATAAAATAAACAGCTTTATTATAATAAAGCTAATAAATATTTAAAAAAAAATGAGTCGAAATGAAAAAATATTTTAGTACATATACATTTTCTATTTATTTCAACAAAATCAGCAATAATATGAATCGACAATTTTTTTTTTAATATCTCTCAGTCGTTTAACGAGATTTACATAATTAATAACTTTTTTCTAAATAATAATTCTAATAAAATGATAGTAATAATCGATAATAGTAATAATCTTTCTTTTACAACTTGAATTTATTTTTTTTTTCTTTTAAATCACTTATAATTTTCTACCCCTGTCCACGAATCGTGTGACTAGTTGTAAACATTATTTTTAAAATAACTTAAATATCTTCGACACTCACTTGTGTTTTATACTTTTATATTGTGTATATATATACGCAATGTACATATATATTTATATATATATACTTTTTTCTATATAAATCTTCTCACTTTTTCATTTATAAATTTAATACTCTTACTCGCTCACTTTCTCCCCCTCTCATTTTATTTTTTCCTCTCTAACTTCATTTGAAAACATTTTCATGGAATGATGATTAAAATTGGGAGATTAGAGTATTTTTAATAATAAAATACAAAAAAAAATATATTGGTACCCTTTGAGTCACAAGAAAAAAAGTCACTGTACCAAGAAAGTCTTAATCTCTTGATATTTATAATTAAAAACGAAGAAAAAAAAATTAATCAAGTCTTTAAAATACAACTGGAAGAACATTTGAAAAAGTGGAAGTTACATTTTTAGATTTAAAAAAAAAAATTAATTCCCAATTTTCAAGATTCAGTGACTCTCGTGTGACGTATTTTTCACAAACTCTATTTTTAAAGACGCATTAGAAAAAAAACAAACAATCGAAAAAAAATGCTCAAAGTAAAAATAGTAAATATTTTTCTTGTTTTATACAAATGTGAATATTGAATTACTGATGTATCGATATTGATTATTGTAAGGCCACTAGTGGGTAATACAAATACAATATAAATATTACAATCTAAGCGAATTACAATTCAAAAAAGTAAATGTCAATTTACAGTGTCCTGCAGAATGATTTGAGCATTCAAAGCAAAAAAAATTGTCATTCGAGATTAAAATTAAAAAAAAAATTTCTTATTGTCAAGGTTTTTAATATTATCAGAGTGATAAAAGTAAAAAAAAAATAAATAAAATAAAAAATATTTTAAAATGCAATTAATCAAGGATACTAATTATTTATAACAATTATTATAATAATTCTTCATAATTAATGAATCTATTTAAAACAAAACAAAAAAATTAAAATTAAGAATTTTTTCTTTGGGACCTTCTGCAAAACGACAATTTACATTGACAAGTTAGTTTTTTCGGGGCCAATTTATAGGTTTACAGTGTATCTATTATCAGATATAAAGATTTCATCACACTCTTAAACTTTAATATAACTACCTTTTCATTTTAAGCAATTCACGCAATCCGTACAAATGTTCTATAAATATGAAATTCACTAATGCCTCGAACTTGTTTCATTTTTTACACGAAAAAATTATTTCTATTTTGGCGCATTTATAGAAATAGAATTCGAAAAAGAGAAGTTAACATTTTTTTTTTTTTTGAGATCTCTCGTTGTAATTAGATTTTTTATCTGCTGCATTAGTTAATAATTATATAAATTTTAAGTTTGAATTATTTTTTTTAAGGGAGGAGGGATTGAAAATCTAGTCAAGTTACAAATATATCGATGCTTTCTCTCTCTCTCTTTCTTTCTTTCTTTCTTTCTTTCTTTCTCTCTGTTTTTGATAAGAAAAAAAATGTGGCTTAGGGGATGTTGAATTGTCTTTTTCTTCTCTACTTTTTACGTTGAGTTCAGACTTAACGGAAACGCCAGTTTCTAGGCACTCGTTGAGCCATGCTCAATAGGCCAGACAATCAAGTCTGGCTTAAATTGTGTGTTACAATGTTGATTCATGTATCACTGTTGTGTCCGGATCATTGTTGGCATTTTGAATTATTGCCTGCGGTATATGAGGAATTAAGGTGATTGATGACGTTCTTCTCACTGGTTTCGGTGATGCCTGAAAAAAAAATTTACTTATTTAAAAATATTTCAACTATTGTCTTAAAAATAAATGTTGTCTTCATTTTTCTCAATTTGTCAATTTTTTTTATTATTTTCAAATTAAATTAAATTAAATGTAATTCATATTTAATTCAATTCAAATTTAATTAATTTTAATTAACATAAATTTAATTTGATTCAACTTCAATTTAATTCGATTCAATTTAAATTAAATGTAATTTTAATTTCTAATACAATTTTAATTCTATTGAATTCTATTTTTTCTGGTTTATTCTTTTATTTCGAAAATACGAGCAAGAAAGAATTTAGTGTCAAGAAATTATTTATTTATTACTACAATTTATTCATATTTAGTGGAAATTTAAATTAGAATTGGAATATTTTTTCTCATTTTTTTCTTTAAATAAATGAATAAATTGGATTAGTAAATAAATAATTTTTTGAGACTAAACAGTTTCTTGCTTGTGTTTTCGAAATAAAATTAATAAATTTCCATTAAGTACAATTAAAATTGAATGAATTTCAATGAAATGGAATGAAAATTAAATATACAATTTTTATTCTTTTGAATTCTATTCATATAACTAATTTATTGATTTTATTTTAAAAATACGAGCAAGAAACTATTCTGGTGTAAAGAAATTATTTATTTATTACTCTAATTTATTCATATTTAAAATAAAATGAAATTAGTTTTATAAAATCTTTTTTTCTTTAAATAAATGTACCAAATGGATTAAATAAGAAATTGATAAATAATTTCTAGACACTAAATAGTTTCTTGTTCGTATTTTCGAAGTAAAATTAACATATTCTTATTAAATGCACTGGAAATTTATTTTTCATTAAATTAAATATTTAAATAGAATTAAAATTAAAGAAATTTCAAATAAATACAATTTTTAATCCTTATAGAATTCTCTTCACATAACTAGTTTATTTTTTATTTCGAAATTAAGAATAAGAAACTATTATTATTATTATCAAGAAATTATTTATTAATCCAATTTATTTACTTATTTACAGAAAAAATATCAAAATAAAAAATATTTTTATTCCATAGTTCTTGTATATTTCTGAATAAAAAAAAATGCTCAGGGTTGCCACAAATATTTAATTTTATTTTTCCCTGACTTTTCCCTGATTTCCAGACAAAATTTTGACTTTTTCCCTGACCCAATTCATTGCAATAATTCAATTATTTTTATAAATAATAAATCGATTATTTGGTAATTCATTTTTAAATCAATTTTTATTAGAAAATTCTAGAAGAATTCAATTATTCAAATTAAAAAATAAATTACTTTTTTGAATGATTGAATATTTTTTAAAATTGAATTCTCATAAAGAATTTTAAAAACAAATTTTTAAATAATTGAATTTTTTAGACAAATTTTAATAAAATTTTTAAGAATAATTACATTTTTGGAGGAATTCGATTAAAATATCTATTGTATCTAAAATAATTAAAATCCTGCAATAAGTTTTATTATTTATAAAAATAATTAAAATTTTCCCAAGAATTTTATTAAAATTTTTCTAAAATAATTTAATTACGGAAAAGAATTTTATTATTTATAAAGATACTTGAAATTTTGATAAGATTTTTTTTTTTTAATTTTTGAACATAAATGAATTTCTTTGAAGAATTTTATTACTTTTGAAAATAATTTAATTCTTGCAACAAATTTTAATCAAGTTTATAAAAATAATTGAATTTCGGTGAAGAATTTTATTATTTATAAAAATAATTGAATTCTTAAAAAGAACTTTGTTAAATTTTTTTAAATAATTGAATTCTTGCGACGAATTTTATAAAAAATCTTTTTAAATAATTAATATTTTTCGAAAAATTTTATGAAATTTTGTATTTTAAATAATTGAATTCCTGTAAAAATTTTTTACTTATGGAAATAATTGAATCACTTCGAAGAAATGTATTAAAAATTTTGTAAATACTTGAATTGCTGTGAAATTTCGCCAAGAATTTTATTCAAATTTTTTTTAAATAATTTAATTTCGGAAAAGAATTTTATTATTTATAAAGATTCTTGAAATTTTGACAAGGATTGTTTTTTAATTTTTGAACATAATTGAATTTCTGTGAAGAATTTTTATAACATTTGAAAATAATTGAATTTCTGAATTCATATTTATAACTTCCAAAATTCAATTTTTTAAAATATTTTTAACAAAAATTCTTTCATTCTATCATTCAATGGTAAAATAAAATTTTCCAATCATTTTCATTAATGGAAACTTTTAATTTTTAAAAAAATGCAACTTTTATATTATTCATAGAGTGAAAATTTAAATTATCAACATTTTTACAGCAAAATTTGTAACATTGGTTTTTATAATTTTAGAATTCCAAAATGGGAAGCTGGCCAAAATTTATATTGATTACCCGTCCAATTCTTCTTTTAAGAAAATTTTCTTTTAACAAAAATCTTATTGAGTCAAATATAAATTCAGTAGAATATTTTATTGAACTTCTCCACTAATATTTATTCTTCAATCGAATTTTCATTTATTATTATTATCAATTTAATTTTTAAAATGGTTTATAATAATTTTTAATAATTAATAAACACAATAGAAAAAACCAGTTAGAAATTAATAAATTAAGTCGTAAATAAATATTTCTAATAAATAAAATTAATTAAATTTAATTAAATCGAATTCAATTCAGTAAATATTTGAAATGTTTAGAATTCTTTTGAATAAAAAATTCAAATAAAGATAATAGAATGAAAATTCCACTGATAGAAAATTGTTTTAGTTCATTAATTAGTCTTGACTTATTAGGACAAAATTAGTAATTAAAAATGAAAAATTAAATTAGAAATGAAAAATTCTCAAAAAGGAAGAAAAAGAAGTAATTTCTTCTGTATTTTCTCTCAAGAAAAGAAAAAGAAAATGAGATTTAAGTAGTAAAGAAAAAAGAAAAAAATGTCCAAATTATGTAACATGAATTAACAACCAACCCAATCTCTTCTCGATGGATAATTCGTGGGTGCCTCAACATCTGAATAATGATCAACCTCACCACAATCGGTTTCCGTTCCAACATTTTTCTTCTGCGGTTGTAAAGTCGCATAATTCCTGCAGCCCCTATTAAAATTATTCAAGTTCTTTTCCTTAACGATTTTCTCTTGGCACAAAATCTCTTGTGACTTGCTCTGTTTATTGCTATTCGGTGCATTACAACTATTTCTATTATTGTAATAGAACGGCGGCATTCTTGAGACCCAATGATCGAGTCCAGAGCCCGCCGAACTTGTCGATGCAGCCGATGAATTGCCAGTTGAATTATTATTCGGTCCACGTTTCTGATAAAAAAGCATGTACGCCGAATTTGTAACCAATTCAGATTCAGTTAATGGCTCAACTCGCGTGTCATCGAAACAATACCATTGTGTGTCATATGGATTTCTACAGAATGCAGTATAATGTCCACCCTGAAGATCCTGTCCATGATGATTGCAAATTGCGTACAAATCATAAACATTATCGTCAATGTATTTGGAAAAATTTTGCCTCTGTCTTGGTCGTGTCGCTTTTTTCCACGATGCCCAGCCAGTTGTCTCGAGTGTCGTGTAATTCGTTGGATTATCACTGTTCGCCAAATGCGGCGTCATATCGCAACCGTAAAGTGGAAAATCAACCAACATTGTCAATTTTGCCGTGGAACGTTGCTTTGATTGTTGACGAAATCTCTTTAAATGTATCACGAGAATATGCGGCAATGTCCATAGACCGAGTTTTTTCACAACTTCCTGCTTACGATTACACGACGGACAATACCATGCGTCCTCAGCGCCGAGTGTTTCTTCCCTCGTGTAAAAATCAAAGCACTCCTCAAGTGTCACGGAATTTTCGCCAAATTCCGAATTTGTTTTCAATTGTTTAACACTCGCGTGCTCCTCAATTTGATCGCTATCGTCTTGTATGATATTCGATTTTGTTGCCTCGTTCCATTCGAGAATTAATTTCACATGCTGTGGACCGGAATCGTCGGCACAAAGTGCCAATGCTTGTTCAATTTGTTCCGTGTATAATGGATGTTCAACGCATGGATCAATGCAGGGATGTTCGTCCTGTGCTGGCGTTGCAACCGGATCGGCGACACGAATATCAAACAAACCTGGATTTTGACTTGAAGTTAGAACATCGTCAGCGAGTGTTGCATGCATTTCTTTTAATAAAAGTTTTTGCAGATCCTCGTAGGATGTCTCGCGGGATATTTGCATCGTGTAAGGACTTCCAAATCGTTCACGTAAATTTCCCTTCACCAGAACATTAATCCAGACTAGGAGGATGTAGGCCTGCTCGGTTGGTTCCTTCAATTGGGGCAATTCAACACAATAAAGAGGATCGTTCTCCGTTATTACTGACAATGGTTGACAATCCGAGAAGGTCCTAGAAAAAAATATCAAAATTGTAGAAAAATATAATCAGAGAAAAAAATGGTCCATATACAGAGTTGCCACAAAAACTTAACTTTATTTTCCCCTGATTTCCAGACAGAATTTTGACTTTTTCCCTAAACCTAAAGAATATTCTAATTCACTCTAAAAATTATTAGATACTAAAAAAAATGTTCTATTTCATTTATTTACGAATTTCTTTATTTGTAAAATTATTCGAAAACATCAGTAACTTCATTTTTACATAAATAATAAATTGACATAAATAATAAAAATAATAATGATTATTTTTATTATTTATGTAAAAATGAAGTTTTTTATTATTATTGTTCCATAAGAATTAAAATTTTCAAAAATTTCAAATTCAAACCTTTTGAAATTCAACAATAAGAATATTATTATAAAACATAAAAATATCGATCTCTCCGAGTCGAAGACTCGGAGAGATGACTTTTCATGTTTTTATAATAAATTAAAAATAACCCATTGAAATATTATTACCCTAACTTCATCGAAATTATTTTCATCATTAAAATACAAGTATTACAATTTTCTAGAATTTTTAACTAAAACTCTTCTTTAAATATTTATTTTTTAATTATCTTTTTTTAAAATAATTTTTAAAAAAGTTCATTAAGAATTTTCCTCGGAATTTTCAAATCTATCTGTTCACAATTCAATTTCACGAAATTTTGATGATGTATGAAAAATTCAGATTTTCAAAGATTTTAATTTGAAACCTTTTCAAAATTCAATTATTTCTAAAAATTCATACTATAATGCTTTTAATATTCAATTATTATCTAAAAATTTAACCGAAATTCATTTTGAAATATAATTCATTCTCATTTTTATTAGAAAATTCTACGAGAATTCAATTATTTAAATACAAAAATAAATAATTTATTTAATAGTTGAATGTTTCTTAAAATTGAATTTTCTTTGAAGAATTTGATTAATAACTTTTGAAAATAATTAATTTCTTTTAAGGAATTTAATTAAAATTTTACTGAAATTTACTGAATTAAAGAATTTTATCACAATTTTTGAAAATAATTGAAAACTTGAAAAGAATTTTATTAAAATTTTTAAAATTAATTGAATTCATAAGAAGAATTTAAATAATAATTTATGAAAATAATTGAATTCATGCAAAGAATTTTACTAAATTTTGTATTTTATTACTTTTCAAAAGAATTGAATTCTTGTGATAAATTTTGATATTTATCATAATAATTGAATTTTGGAAAAGAATTTTATTAAAACGTCATAAAAATTTTTGAAAATAATTGATTTTCTGCGACGAATTAAAAGTTATTTATAAAAATAATTTAATTATTGAAACTAATTTTATTATTCTATTGAATAATTAAATGTTTCTTAAAATTGAATTCTTTCGATGAATTTTAACAAAATAATATTTAAGAATAATTGCATTTTTCGAGGAATTTAGTTAAAATTGTATTAAAAATATTTGAAATTGAGCGATGAAAATAGAATTCCTGAAAGAAATATTATTTATGAGAATAAATAATATGTTTTCGTAGAATTGTATTAACAATTTTTTTTCAATGATTAAATTTTGTAATAAATTTTATGAAAACAGTAAATATTGAAAATCATTGAATTGTAAATAACTTTTGAAAATAATTAAAATTTTGCAAAGAATTTTATTAAATTTTCTTTAAACAATTAAAATATTGACCAGAATTTTATTAAAATTTTTGGAAAATAATTGACTTTTTCAAAAGAATTTAGCTATAAATTTTTAATTAAATAACTTAAATTTTATTTTATTATAATTTTTCAAATTAATTTGTTTTTTTAAGAGTTTTATTAAAATTTTTGAAAATAATAGTTAATTATTTAATTAATTAATAATTAATTATATTGAAAATCATTAAATTGCGAATAACTTTTGAAAATAATTAAAATTTTGCAAAGAATTTTATTAAAATTTTTGAAAATAATTGGATTTTTTGTGAAAACATTTGCTATTTATAAGGATAATTGAATTTTTGTCGAGATATTCGTTAAAATTTTTGAAAATAATTAAATTTTATTACTTTTAAAAATAATTGAATTCTTGTGATGAATATTGTTACATATTTATGAAAATCATTGAATTTTGCAAAGAATTTTATTAAAATTACTAAAACTAATTGAATTTTAGTGAAGATTTTTGTAGTTTATGAAGATAATTGCGTTCAAACTTTTGAAATAATTAAACAATACTAAAAAATTCATTCTTATCAGAAATAGAAAAAAATTTGAAGGTTTTGTATTAGAATTTTTGGTAACTTCTAAAAATTAAATTTTTTCCAGTACTTTTAATAAAAATCTCTGACTTTTTCCTGACTTGTGGCAATTCTGATATAATTTAGCCATAATAATAAATTCTGAATGCACCTGTGAAAGCCTTCGTCGTAGACCTCAGTGAGAAGCATATGATTTTCGTCGATTCCAGTATCGCTGGCGAGCATTTCTCTAAGTTCCTTGACATTTGCTGCTTGATTGACGCTAACGCCAATTCTCACTTGCCGTGGTTGTTGTGAAGTGTACAAAACATTGACAAAAAGATTAATTTGCCGATGATTCTGCGGCACTGGTACCGACACACAGAGGAATGGATCGAACGTGTTCGATTGCTTTTTACACTTTGGACATGTTAAACTCGAGCAAAATTGTGCTTGAAAAAGTTTATGAACAAAAGAACTGTTGCATCGTACATGATTGTTTAATGTTTCCTGGGCGACGACGTTGTCCGGCTTTCCATACGAACTCTGAAAGAAAAACGAAAAAATTACAATCACAGAAATACAAAAATACAAATAAAAAATACGTTTTTCATCGATTCATTAATTTCAAAGTTCAAATACTCCCAATTTTTTCCACTCTCTAGAAACAAAAAAAAATGCAAGAAACTGAATAAATTTCTGTTTTTATATATAGATAAATAATCTCTTTCTCTAATTTGTCAACAAACTTCCGCCCTAGACGGAAAGAAATCGTTCCCCCCCAAAAAACCGAAATTGCCAGACATTTATTTCGGGATTTCTATTTCAGGTCAAAAGGAAATACGAAAGGGACACGGAGAATTCAGACGGGTTGATTGTATAAAAGAAAGAAAGAGAAGCAAAAAAAAAGGAAATTCGGAAATTCGTTTAATATATCCTAGACCTAGATTTCTTTTATTGCATATATTTTCTTGATTTCTCGAATATGGAGAGTGTTGGGAATTTTATATCTCTTCGTATTTTTATGATCATTTCATGGTCATAAAGTGGGCTGATCTGTGTCATTGTTATATAAAAACCGCAGTCAAATAGCCTTCCGTATTCAAAGTTTTAAGGGAAACAATGACCTCTTTCTTTCTTTCACTTTACCTTGAACAAAATTTTCTCTGGGTCGTTGAATTTGAATCTTTTTTTTTATCTCAACACTGGATTTTTTTTTGTGTAATACGCCAGGGAAAATTACAGGTGAAGTTTGACAAAATTCTTTTATTTTCAGCTTCCATTTTCTTTCACCACAAATTCTTTTCATCCTTAGAGAAAAGAAAGAAATAAAATATAGAAAGAAAAATTAAAGAAAAAGAATTAAAGAAAGAAAAATATACGAAAAAGAATTAAAGATTCGTGGTCCCAATGATTTGTCAGAATTGGCATAACATTTTAATCTCCTGCACCTGGCTGCATCTTAATATTCAAATACTCTCCGAGGACATTGAAGAATCTTTCATTTACATACCTTGGAATTTTTAAGTAGCGTTCAAAATAAAAATTCTCATTAATTATTAATAAATTTATAAATCCTCTTTTCATTACGAATCACGAATCTAAAATTTTTCATTTATCAAAACAAAAACAATTCTTTTCAGAGTAAGTAAATAAAATAAAATTTCAGCATTTCGTAAAATTATTTTTCATATTTTAAATGGCATTTTATTAAAAATCACTTGGTAATTTTAAGGATGATTTTTTTCATTGAAACTATTAATTCACAATACTTAACATTCTATAAAAAGTTAATAAAAATAATAATAATAATAATAAAATAATTATAATAAATAATTAGAAAACTGATGGTTTTTCTAAAAATGGAAAAAAGCAAATGTCATTGGAAAATTGACAATTAAAAAAAGGAAATTAGTGAAAACAATGCGTCATTAGAATAAAGCGAACTTGTTAAAATATAATACTTAATGAGCTCGAAACCAATCATCATAAAATTATCTGTTATCAATTCTAGTGAAATAATGATTGTTTTTTATTATCCTTAATGTCATTTCATAAATGAGAGAATTTTGTTTTCTGTAAAATGAGATTATTTGTTTTCGTGTACACAGAAAATTAAACACACACAATTTTTTAAATTAATTATTAATTGATAATTAAATCAAAGCAATAAATAATAATCATAATAAAAATAATGACAATAATAATAAAAAAAATTTAGTAATTATTACAATAGTAACAAAATAATTAAAAAAATTTAATAAAATTAAATTTGCAAAAAGACATTAAAAAAATATCAGTTCCTGATTTTTTTCCAATGTGTCTATTATTGTTACCGTTTACGCTCAGGAAAGAAGTGAATAATCAATAACAATTAATTAAAGTATCATTATGTGATAAAATAATAGAATTAAGGTCAATTTTCATTTCTGCTTTCTTGAAGTAAAATCAATTTGAGGATAAAAATTATTCCTCTAAATAAATAATTACTCACGAAATTATAGTAATTTAAAAAAAATCCCACTTTATTCTAATAATAGATGAAAAAAAATTAAGAATTTTCTTAAAATGACAATGAAAATTTAGCAGCGCTTTTGCTCACTTAAAATTCCCTGACTTTTCCAGGTTTTCCAGGTTTAAAAACGTAACTTTTCCAGGTTTTTAAAACTACATTTGATGACAACAAAAATTTAATTTTGTTTTTCCCTGACTTTCCCTTGAATTCCAGACAAAATTCTTACTTTTCCTTCACTCTAAAGAATATTTTCATTCAGTTTAAAAATTATTACTCAGAAAAATATTCTAATACTTCTCCTTTTTCGACTCGGAGCAATCGATATCTTCATGTTTTATAATAATTAATTAATTATCAAAGATGACCGACTGATAAAATAATTATTTTATATTATAAGAATATTGTTACCGTAACTTCATAAAATTTATTTTTATCATTTCAATTCAATTATTTTTAACTAAAACTCTTGCTTTAAATTAATTATTTTTAATAATTTTTGAAAAATTTCTTTGAAAACTTTCAAATTCTTTTGTTTACAATTCAATTTTACGAAATTTCACAGATTATTCGGAAATTTTTCAATCAAATATATATTAGAAAATAAAAACTTCAAATAATTTCAAAAGTTCCATTAAACTTCTTAAAAAAAATTCAATCTACACAATTTTCAGTTAAAAGTATGAAAAATTCAAACTTTCAAAGATTATAATTTGAAAGCTTTTCGAAATTCAATATTACTTCTAAAATTAAATAAATGAAATTATAAATTAACTGTTAAATTAGTAGAAACGACTATTAATTAGTAAAATCTGCATATTCTAAAGCAAAAAGTCAGTCACTAATTCACTAATTCAAATTAGAAACCATTTTTACCAATTCAAATTTAGAGAGTTTAATATTCAATTATTATTTAAAATTTTAACTAAAATGCATATTGAAATCAATTTTTATTAAAAAAATTTACAAAAATTCAATTATTTAAATACAAAAATAAATAATTTACTGAATAATCGAATGTTTCTCAAAATTAAATTCTGATAAAGAATTTTATCAACAAATTTTTGAGTAATTAAAATTCTTTTGACAAATTTTAATAAATAATTGAATCTCTGTAAAAAATTTGATTGAATTGAGAAAAGTTTTTGAAAATAATTGAAATTTTGCCAAGAATTTTATTAAAATTTTTGAAAATAATTGAATTCTAAAAAAGAATTTTATTATTTATAAAGATAATTGAAATTTTTACGAGAATTTTTTTAAACTTTTGACTATAATTGAATGTCTTCGATGAATTTTATTACTTTTGAAAATAATTAAATTCTTGATACGAATTTTAATAATATATTTCTTTTTAAAATGATTGAATTAAATTAAACATTGAATTTATATTGACAATAATAATTAAATGCTAATAAATAAATTATATAGAAAGGCTTTTTAAAATAATTCAATTTCTTTGATGAATTTTAATAAAATTATTAAGGATAATTACATTTTTAAAGAAATTTCATTAAAATTGTATTCAAAATAATTGAAATTCTGCGATGAGTTTTATTATTTATGAAAATAATTGAATTCCTGGTAAAAGAAAATGTTATTCTTTATGAAAATAATTGAATTATTGTGAAGAAATTTATAAAAAATTTGTAAATAATAGAATTCCTGTGAAATTTTTATTATTTAATTTATTCATTCAAAATTGAAATTTTCTAAAATTTCGAATTAAAACCTATTAAAGTTCATCTACTTATGAAAATTGTAAACGCAACTCTTTTAAAATTCAATTAATTTTGAAATGTTTATGTAAAATTAGATTTCAAGAATAAACTTTAGAAAATAACAATTTTCCAGGATTTCGATCAAAATTCCCTGACTTTTCCAGGTTTTTTCAAAATTTATAAAATTCCCTGACATTTCCATGTTGCGTGGCAACCCTGTAATGTAAATAATAATTAAATTAGTTATTATTATTTTTAAAAAAATAATTAAAAAGAAAGAAGAAATCTGTTAACAACGTAAATTTCACGAAGTTGAAGTCCACAACGTTTGTCAACGAAATAAATTTATTTAATGCATTCAAGTATTATTTTTAATTTAATATTTAATTGCAAAATAATTATTATCGAAATATAAACATCAATCTTTTATTTCGAAATATTTTTGTGACAATATTGGAGCGTCATTTTTAATTAATTTACTAAGTTTAAAATTTTTTTTCGTTGATCAACGTTGTGGACTTCAACATGGTTAAATTTCGGTAATGCCTGAAATTTAATTTTCAATTTTCTCATTTTGCAATTAGCAAAAAAATTAATTGAATGCGGTTGTAATTAGTAAACTAAAGGAATTCAGATAAATGATGAGACAACTTCACTGCTATAAGTAATTGAATTTCTTGTCAGCTTGATACTTAAGAAACAAGATTAAAAAAAAAAGAAAAAAAACATGTTTTGCAATTAGCCGCAAGAAAAATGGTAGAAGAAGGATCTCTTGAATGTTCAATTCGTTAGCATCCGTTCATTTTGCACACAATTGTGAAACTATATAAGACGAACGTGAGCACGTGGCTCTATATACAATATAACGAGGCAAGAGAGAGAGAAGAAAAAAAAAACGTCATACCTAAATAGACTATAATTAGAACCGGCAGGTTATAACAATCGTTATATGTACTTTAGGCGATAACGAGATCCCATTTCTGCTACTAATACTACTTCTACAAACTGTAAACTCTTATTACTTGGATAAATTTTAAAAAAAAAGTTGTTTTTAAATCGCATTTCAAAAAATTGCTCTCTTCATTTTTATCTCTCGTCTGCAATTTTTAACACTTTCAAAACTTTGCACGATGCATATCTAGATCTTAATATTAAGAAATTGTTTTAACAAATGTGATTCACGTTCTGATATTATCTCTCTCAAAAAAAAGTTGATAGCGAGAAGAAAATATTTACCCAGAGAATGCAATTTAAGATTTTTAAATAGTATTCCTTCTGAATGTCAAATTCGAAAATTCCTTTTATGTCCCAAC